TTAGTTTGAACCCACAAGATTTTAAGCAAAATGATTTTTACTCGGGCTCTATTCTTTTGTTGCAACACTTTCCTTTTCGGGAAGTATTTTAATCCTTGCAACACTTTCCCTTTATTGAAAGTTTCATCTTTCAAAATACATAAACGCTCTTACCTTTTGTCATTAATTACCTTTTCTCACCTAGTTTATCACTTAACCCTTTTCTTACTTAATATCATTTTATGTTACTCTTCTTACTTTTCCTTCAAAACTTGTGGTAAAACACAATGTTGCAAACAAAACAAAACCGAGGGAGTATTAACTATCCAAATCTACTCTTCCTGAATTGACAGGGATATACACGGCATATCAAGTAGAAAGGATAAGATTGTCGCAATAATGATGATTCTTCAAGCCCTCGTCACTAGCTGCATCACTATATCCACCAATGTATACAATATGCTCACCTAAACCAAAATTTGATAATCATTCAATAATAGATTTGTATGTATTTTTTTATTGTATAGCTATTTGTCAATGCCCTCCTATCTTGGGCTCGTGCAGGCTCATCTATTTGAGCCCGTCCGAGCCCACTTTTTTTGTTTGCTTATATTGAGTTACAATACAGTTACAAGTTGTGAGAGAGAAGGGTTAGAAAAACATACTACCTTAGTTCTGTTTTAGCTGCAAAATTGGTGATTTAGCATCATTCACATATTCTATTTTGACTACATTTCATTTATTAATGTATTATAAATTAATTTTTTTAAACAAGTTGTTCAATTCTTCTCATTTTAAATTTTCAAAATCTTAATTTTTTTTACTAATAAGGAATGAAAGACGTTAATGGTCAAACTTATCGTTGACAAATCTGAAAAAGGACCGTTGCAATTTAAAAAAATATGTAAGAAGTATTACATGGTTGGGCAAGAGATTATTCTCTTATACCTTTAAGGGAGATGAATTAGTATAATAAAATAAATGAAAATGTAATAATTGGGGTAGAGGCCGTAGAGCAAGATTCAAAGGTTTAGACAAATGTAAAATGACTCATCATCACAATTGTACTGGATACCCAAAGTTGATTCATTGATACTTATTGAGTTATTTCATACATTAGGTCATGAGAAGGTGATAAAGTTATTAGGAAAAGTGGTATATGTAGTTGATATTGAATTGGTAAAGTAAAAATAAAGTAAGAATGGTTTAGTGTCACATAAATTTTACTAAATTTAGTATGAGACAATCTAAATAGGACAGATCGATTCAAAAAGGAAAAATATCACAATCTTAGCGGATCGAAAGGAATATCTTGTTCGCAATTAAAATCAAGGAAGTACTACTAGTTTAGTTATTACTCTGTAGGTATTAACATATACTTCGTATTTATTGGCATAATACCAATATATACAAGGAAATAGAAATTGGAGATGCTAATTATAATATTTCAAAAGATTGACTTAAAAGGCTAACTAAATTTGTACGGAGTATTATTAAAGTGATCTAATTCCTTGACCGCTAGTAGTAGTAATCAATTAATCAAACATTTACTCTAAAATTGATGCTGATGATGATGATGAATGATGACGATGAAGACAATAACAACAACAACTAGTGTTTTACCCGGGCGTTGCCCCGGGTGCATAGTGAGGTTGTTAGAACCATTTGAAATATATATTCTTATATATGTAAGTAATATATTGTTTCACCTCGTATAAAAATTTCTTTACTTTGAATGGTATTTTAATAAAAAAGAAGCAATAAAATATTGATATTGTACAAAACATGTTAATCGTGTACCACATGGTTAATCGTGTACAAAACATGATAAGATACCACATGGTTAGGTTTTGAAAAAACTCCTTATAAAAAGCACGGTCTTGGTGGAGAACCCTCTTTCTTTTGAACGAATAAGTATCTTAAGACCTCTCTACTCCTTCTAATCAATATTTCTCAAAAACATTATCGGTGCTCTGAGTTTTAAATGAAGAATATGCATGATTAGGCAATCCAGACATTGATGTGCTATTAGCAAACTGGGTTGTCTACATATTTGCATGGAAGGGGTCTGTGTTTGATGACATAATACTTTCCAAACCAATATGCTTCCCAACCTTATCAGAAAATAGTATATTTGATACAAATGATTAACAAATCTTGTATTCATAAAATTGATGTAGTCATAGAGCTACCTAGCTCTTTAAACATGATCAATTAAGCAACTATTTTAGAGGCATAAACTAAACTTTTAACAATAAGTCTTCAGAACACCTTTTCTTGTAAGAAGTGTGGGTAAGACTTAGCGAGCGAGATCTGATGAGTTTGGATGCTCTTTTAGGATCCTAAATAATCAATAAAATATAGTGATATATTATTTAAATATTATATTTTTTAAAATAGATCTAATTTCTTTTATTGTCCTTACCTTTCTCGAAACTCAGCTCAATGCACCATTTGTCCTTTCCATTAAGAACAATAATGCTATTTTAATTTTAAAAAAAAAAGTCACATATGTTTCACCTTGTAAAAAATAAAGCATGTGTTGTTAAATATATCATACATTAACATTTTTAAATAAGAATTGTATTAATAAGTTACCATTAAATGTGTTAGTAAGCCCCAATCATGTAACAATTATAAAAGGTAGCTTGAAATTACATCTATCCACCCCCCCCCCCCAAACGTACTCAACCTTTTCACCCCACATTGCGCACGGTATAGTTGCCCCCCTCCAAGAAAATATATGCAAGTATATTGTATAAAATTTATAGAGTCATGCCTACATGAATAGGTAATCTACAAAAAAATATTACTTAGTCAGTGTCTTGTAGTAGCATGCGTAGTTTAACATTAGCACATAAAAAAATGTTGATTTTGAAAAACAAATTAGAACGGATGTAGTATGATTTAAGGTAAAAATCACAAACATTATTTATAAAAAAAAATTAAAAAAGTAGTTCATACGCACAAAATTAGTTTTCACAACCTAAATATGTTAAATAATGTCACAACATATACTCTGATTATTGAGTAATATTTAGACATTTATATATTCCAAATATGTCATCTAAAAAGGCTTCATACACTTTTTTGCATATACACTTTTTAACCCATACGGAGTACTTGTTATGGTATATGTTTCCTTCTGTATTTCGACATATCAGAAGGGAAATAATATATGAATACTTTAATAAGAGGCGGTTAACATATGATTTAAGGTAAAAAAAATCATAAACATTATTTCTAAAAAGAAAATAAAAAAAGTAGTTTCATAGGTACAAAATTAGTTTGAACAACCTAACTATGTTAAATAATGTCACAATAAATATTTTATCTATTGAGTAACCTTTAGACATTTTATAGTACAAATAGCATGTCTAAAAATTGGACGCCTACACACGCGCACACGCACACAGACATATCACACGTGTTCCTTATAATATGTGTCTATATTTCAGATATTTTATGGACGCACTTGAGTTACGTGTCTTGTAAAATTGGAAGAGTTGGAGAGTTACGTATTTTGTGAAATTGAAAGAGCTGAGGAATTCAGTGTCTTTTTTGTAAGAGTATCTAGCCTTTGTAAAATATGGTAGGGAATGAGATAGAATATGTAGAACCTATTTTGTAATGCCAAAATCGGCTGATTCTGCTAAAATTTATGAAGTTCTAACTGAAGTGATTGAATTGGCTGATTCTACTGATTTATTAATAAATAGTATTTAAAATATATTTTATTTTTTAAATAAAGAAAAAATTAAATGCAAAAAAATAAGAATAGCTAAAATGGTCCTCTACAGTAATTTTGTCAATACAGCTAGAAAAGTAACTTCAACCTTACTTTTTTTTTATTATTACAAAAATTCAGCGCATGGAATAAAAAATTATGTGTTTGGTGAAAAAATTGGCTGGTAAGATAAAAAATTGGGCTACCAAACGGGCTCGTAATATTCCATATTTCAAGTCATATTGTATTTATGGAATGAGATAGAATATGGAATCTAAAATTATTACATTAAATCATCTCTTTATTAAAACAAAATATATTTTTTAAGGGAAGTGTATTGAACGTGTGATAAAAGGTAAGGTGCATGTTCTTGTACTTAATAGCAATTATATCATTCATCAATTTGTACTTAATAGCAATTATAGCATTCATCAATTGTACTTAATAGCAATTAGATAATTGATAAATTGTACTCAATAGCAATTACTATAAAGGTTCTACTTTATTAGTAAGTAAGTAGATAGTAGGAAATAGAACATATAAAATTATTGGACTCTAATGTAAGCAATCATTAATGTAATATTATCAAACTATATTCGACTAATAGACCATATTAGAACAGACTTTTACAATTATAAGGTACATTTGCACAAGACCAGAACAAACTTGATTTTTTTTAGACAAAACTGGATTTAAACGGACCAGATCAAACTCAAAACAATATAAGTCAAATAAAAAACACCCTACGTAAAAAATCCAATCCACTTAAATAACAAAAATGATATTTATTAGAGAAGATTTATTTAACTATCCATTATAACAAGCTATTTTAAAAGAGGTTTTTCCTAAACTATTACTAATAAAAAAAAATTATGGACAAAAATGTGACTATAAGTTACTATTCGTAAGTTTTATAGTCACTATGATGTAGTATTCGAACAAAATTATAGTCACTAAAATTATCAGAGTCACATTTTTGTCCACTACTTTTATTTTGGTTATATATTTCGATTATTTCAATTTAAAAATGTCTATATCAAATAAAACATGTTTTGAAAGAATTACGCTGCACCAGCAAAAACAACAACAATAATAAATAAGGGCGGCCTTGGGGGAAGGGGACGGGGCCCTAGGCCCAACAAATTTTAAAAAAAAGGCTCATGTTTCGTTCTTTATAATAGGTGTGAGTAGGCTTATTTGTTAGCCCTGAACTAATAATTTTTTGGGTAGAATTTTGTGAGTAAGCCAAATAGAATTTTTTTTGATGAAAATTTAATAATATATGAGCATATTCTCAATGAAGTGTAAATTATGTCCACAAATTTGAGTTCAAAATTCAAAGGCCCGGGCCGCTAATAACATGCATATTCATCAGGAGGACACTCATATATACTAGCCGCTACTGATAACTTCTCAAAATGGACCGAAGTGTTTTGACAAATTACCATCACCGAGTTGTTATATATCATCATCATCATTATTTTACTATGCCTTTTTAGTAATAATAATGACATTTTTTATTTCTTGCAGTACAAGATGATATATTTTAGAGACGTTAAGCATGGAAGCAAAAAATATCTCTCTGTATCAACAAGCAAGAAGAATGACGATGAGATTCTTTTGAAGATGCATAATCCACTCGCTCGCGAGCTTTGGGATGAAACTTTCGTGTCGTGCCGAGTTACAGACTGGACTCTTGAGTGCGAGTATCAAGCTCAAACTATGCGGACTTTAGCATCTGACTTTTTTTCATAGGCTTTCTTCTGAGATTCTCCCTTGTTTGGGTAGACGGATCCATGATGAAAACATCCCACTGACAAATACCTTATCATTTGGTGACGAGTTTAGATTCATCACAGGTTATTGGACTGGGCTGAGGACATTTTGAGTCTGGGTAAAAGCATTCTCGAGGAGGGGCTAATTTATGATGTTGTTTATGCCCCATCTTTCATGTATGATCGGTGTACTAATGTTGTACAAACATTTAGTGAGGTATGGTGTCCCATGGTAAATACTTTACTCACGTCCATTGGTGAGTTGACGATCACACTTTGAGACTTGAATGTTATCGAAGAATTACCTATCATACGACACGCATATGATGGATCTATTCCAAACACTTTCGAGTTGTTAGATGCGAGCGCTCACTGTTCACTTCAGCTATGCAAATACTTATTTCACGCATATCATCATCCTTTTCCTGAAAACAGAAGATAAACGTGTTTTGCGTGTTCATGCGTGGGTCAAATTATGGTTCAAGAAGGCCTCCAAGTATACCGTGCCTCCATTGAGAACAAAATAGAAAAGATCATCTCGTGTTAAGGCAACCCATAATCTGAGCAGAGCTATCCAAAATTTGGAAAATGGTCAAATTTTATGAGGGTATTGTTCCATGTACTTAACATCATTTCTATCATGTTTGTTTTTTGCATTTGTATTGCTACATGAAGGTCACAGAGTTATCCGCCTGGAAAAATTCAAAGTTGCTTGTATGATGGCTTGAAGGAAACAGGTATGCCTTGCAGACCCAATATTTATCATGAGCTTAATGAGATCTCAAATGCTCCAACATCTGATCAAGTTAGAACATGCTTTCTTTTTCACTATGTCTATGGATGGTTGGCATCATAATTCTCTGCTTCTCATGGAATAGTGAGTAGGAAAGCACGTTCTAACTTGACCACTAGTTGGAGCATTTAAAGTCCGATTAAACTCATGGTAAATACTTACAAGAATCGAGACTGCAAGGCATATCCGTTTACCTCGAGTCATCATACAAGTAACTTTGAGTATTTCTGGACAGATGACTCTGGAACCTTCATGTGGCAATACAAACGCACAGAGCCAACATGATAGAAATGTCTCTAAGTAAACCTCTTCCTCATATTCAGCAGAAATCTTGAGTACATAGAACAGTACTGTTGGTCCAAAATAGGACGCTCGTAGGCTTTTAGGAAAGCTACGAAAGACACTCAAGCAGGAAATCAAGAAAGCAGTACGAATAAGGAAAGTGCTAGGAGATTGAGTTGCCAGAAATGACTTGTCTATTATTTGAATCCAACTTGCCTTATATAGGCGATTACAAATGGTAACTGCCAAACGTTATAATGGCTAATTTAATTACCATGTTAATACATAATTAATCACATAAATAAATATCGTATTAATGCCTGGCCGTTACTCTTCCCTGGTTGGCTGGCCGTTGCTCTTCCCTGGCTGGCAGGCTGGGCGCTCGGGCTCCCTGGGCGACAGGCTTCTGCTGGGCCGGAATCAGGCTCCTCGCTAGACCGAAGACGGGCTTCCGGTTGGGCCGGTAGGCAGGCCGTCTTGGGCTTCTGCTCCGCCGGACTTCCACTCCCTGATGGGCCCGGTCGGTTGGGTCGACCTGATATCTGATCGCTGGGTTCACTAGATGGGCTTGCCTGGCGAGACAACAGCCGTGGGCTTGGACCCGCTGATCCAAGTTTGGGGCCAAGTCTGATTAGGCATTGGGCCTAGTCCCATAATCCCATCACGAGTCCCCCACTCCCTTAGTCGAGTAGTAGACTCGGCTAAGAGGGAGTAGTCCAAGTCAGCCGTCAATTAGAAAATATTCACATACCAGTGAGCAATAATTGCGGATTCTGTCAAATCCACAATTTATGGAAATTTTCCAATTTTAAATAAAGCTCTCAGCTTAAAAAGGCTTCAAATTAATTCCCTCAGCATCCCAGCATTCCAACAGTCAGCTTTCTTCCAGGCTTCAGAATCCAGGTCAGCTTCCGAAAATTCCTGAAATTCATCATAATTATTTTTTTGTAATTATTTCCGGACTAAATTTCTTTCCTTTTTTTTTTCTTTTCCCCTTTTTTCCTTTTCTTTTCTTTCCTTTTCTTTTCTTTTCTTTCCTTTCTTTTTCTTTCCTTTCTTTTCTCTTCTCTCCCCTGGTTTCCTGCGCGCGTCTTCCTCGCGTCGCCCGCACTGCCTCAGCGCCGCAGTCAACCCAAGCAGCGGGCTGACCGCCGCTTTCCCTCCGGCGGCTCCACTGGGTTGACCCCGCCGTGCTAGGCGGCTGTCCCGCGCCGTCCACCGGTCTGAGCGAGTCCGGCCTGACAGTCCGGCACATCTGGCCGGCCGATCTGAGTGGGCTGACCGCCGTTTTTTCCTCCGGCGGCTCCACTGGGTCGACCCCGCCGTACTAGGTGGCTGTCCCGCGTCGCCCACCGGTGACGATGCCGCCCTGGCAGTCCGGCAAGCCTGGCCGGCCGGTCTGGCCTACTACCGCGTCCGGCTGGGGTGCCTCGCATGGGCCGGCGGCCACCCCCTGCCGGTCGGCGTCTCCCAGAGGTAGGCTTCCCGGCGGCTGGGCGCCCTACTTGTCCATCCCTCCGGCGCTCAGGCTGTTCGGAGAGCTGCCACCGTGTTCTCTCCCTCCTTGGGTTGGCGGAAATCCATGCACGCGTATGATGACCGGGTCCACCTTACTGCCGGCTGCCGGTGGTGCCGGTTCCCTCCCCCTAGTTGGGCGATGAGCCAGACTGGGTCTTCTTTCCGCGTCGCAAGTTGTAGCCGAGCCCCTCCCCAAGCCATCAGACTCGGGACTACCAGCCATCACAGAAGGAAAGCGTGTGGTGGCCGCGAGACCTGTGCGGGTTAGCCGTGGCGCTCGACCACATACGCCTGCGGGGGAAGCCACTGGTCAGCAGGTCGACGTCTTCCCAGAGATGGCACCAGCTAGGCGGGCCACTACTCCTGATAGCCAGCAACTGCGTGTTCCAAATAGAGCACGAGCGCAACATGTGGTCGTGTCAGATTCTGATGAGGATTCGAGTGCTCGGGAGGACCCGAATCTTTGGTGGGGCCTCGATAATAGCGGGGTGGCGAACCTCTCCCCTCATATCCAGGACGAGGACCTTGCCGTTGCCTACAGCTTGATCGGTGCCAATTGTTCATTGAGAACTCCGGAGGCTACTGAGGTACTGAGTGATCCCCCAGTCCATTACTTCGGGGTCCATATTCGCTCTCTGGAGTTAGGGATGGCTGTGCCTCTGCATCCTTTTCTGGTTCAGTTCCTTCTCTTCTTAGGTGTGGCCCCGGGCCAACTGGCTCCGGCGGCTCATATGTTCGTTGCAGCTTTTGTAGCGCGATGTGAGGATGTGGGCCTCACCCCCACAATCAGTTTGTTTTTTAGCTGCTTCCAGTGGCGCGCCTCCAGCTTTTTTGCCTCAGTTTCCCAGAGGCCGGTGAGCAAGCTATTCCGGCCGGGTTACCCTGACTCAGGTAGCCGATGGAAGAAGAGGTGGATCTGGGTGTCCGACCCCACCCTTCTGTCACCTCCATTTCAGTGGGGTGAGCGGCTCCGGAAGTGTGATCGGGTCGCCCTTTCCCCTGACCTCAAGTCATCCATCGAGATGTTGTCCGCAGGCGGTCCCCGCTCCATCAGCTCATACTTAGGTGATCGTCACTCCCTCACTTTAGGTTTGGCTACTCTGTATTTCACCTTTCTCATCCTCACATTTTTCTTCCGCAGGTGTGCCTGATAGGCCTGAGAAACCTATCGTCGGTGCCGAATCTGATGACGATGACGAAGAGGCCCAGCCATTCATCGCTCGTGCAATTCCCACAGCCACCAAGGAAAAAGAGCGTGGAGCTCCCCCAAACCGTGTAGCACAGATTCCGAGGAGGGTGAGGGTTACCTTTGGGCCTCAGCCTGTCGCACCAGCGAAGAAGAAGCAGAAGAGGGATATTGTCGACTTACTGGTCGAATTGGATGAGTCTGATGACGAGGAGGTGGAGCCTCATGTAGCCGCTGCTCCTGTGCTCCCCCAGGTCGCTGCGGGGAAAGGGCACGGAGCCCCCCCGTGCCGAGAGGGGCATGTTTTGGAGGGGGCGACTGTCACCCCGGAATTCCAATCCACCGGGCCGGTGCATGAAGATGCTGGTGAGAGGATGACTCAGCACACAGTTGCTTACACATTCCCATCTCCGAGTGCCTCGATCATGCACGAGGGCTTCCCGGTTGTGGACTATGCTTCAGGCGATCTTGCCGCCGGGTGACCTCGCACGTATGACCTCCCAGGGGTTTCAACCCCTCTTGGAGGGTTCCATTCGGACCCATGTTGATGTGAGTGGCCGATCACATCTCCGGCATACTTTGTTTTACCCCTCGATTCCATCATATTTTGTTTGTTTTGTTTCGCAGGGACTTGCTAAGACCATTGGGGCACTTTGGGCAGCCAACCATTCTCAAGCAAAGCTCCAGCGTGAGGTTGATGAAGTTAGAGCCGCCCTACAGGCTAGGGAGAAAGCCTTCTCCGAGTTACAACTTTTGCATGCAAGAGAGCGTGAAGAAGTGGCCAAGAAGGCGATTCTCGAGTTCAAGGCCTCCGACGAATTCCAGAAAACCATATCTGACAGAGTGGAAGCGAAGGAATCTGACTTAGTAAATAAGTGGCTGAAGACTGACGAGGGGGAGTACTGGCATGCTCGTGAAGTTCTGTACGCCTTTCAGAGTGGCAAGTACCTGACACAGCAGAAATTGTATGATCAGTTGGAGGGTCTCGGCCCTGACTTCTATCCATCCGTGCTAGGTCTTCCTGCCCGCATGAAGAAACCTGAAGCTGCAATAGCCCTCTTGCCCCCAGGAGTCTACCGCCAGGAGGAGGAGTCCGGTAACTCGAACGAATGGTGTTGGTTCTTTCCAAGACCTTCGGAGGACATGGTCCCCCCTTGCATCCGGTCAGCAGGAGGGAGCTCAAGAGTCCGGCCAAGACTTGGTTGCCATGTTAGATGAGATTCCCGAGGCCAATGGTGATGGGCATGTCCTGCCATGACTTTGTATTTTGCATTTTCCTTGTCTTCCACTTGTACACGTGTTTTGACTGAATGTTTAATTAATTCACACATTTCTTTTCATATACTTTGCGTTGCGAATACTTAAGCAATTTAATCGGGGATCCGGCTTCTCTAACTTCCCAGGGGGCGATTAGGCTGGCGTGGCCAAGCCTATCCACGCCCCTCCTGGTCAGATAGAAGTGATCTGTTCGCTGTTGATATGGAATCAACAAGTATGCGACTTGTTCGGCCAGCAAGGTCGGACATTGAACTTACAAGGAGGACACTTAGGTCGGCACCCCGACGTTCGTGACCCGGGGGTCAGTCCTACTATCGCCTTGACCCGTCCAGTTCGCCCGGACTTGGGGAATAATCTGGTTACTCCCGCGGGGTTAGCCAAACAACAGGGGCGGACCCTGCATGATCCACCAGAACGGACCCGCACCGCCAACTCGGAGATGGCGAGAGTGCGAGCTGCTTGGCCAGCGATGTCGGGTTGCGAGCGCTCAAAGGGGGGACCCAGAGGTCGGCACCTTGGGCGCTCCCGACCCGGGGATCGGCCCTACTATCGCCTCAACCGTCGCGGTTAGCTCTTTACTTTAGAAAATTGCTTGGATTCTTGAAAATCGATGGGCCATTTTCAGTTCAAGAGCCTGACCGAGGTCGGCCAAACACCGAGGGGGGGCATAGTATCTTTTTTTTTTTTTTTTCTTCTTTTTTTTTTTTGCCGCCGCCCTTAATTGCTAAGTGAGGTCGGACCTCTTTTGAATGCAAAATATCGCTAGCAAAGTATATTGAATTCATAATGTGGGCGGACCACATGAAGAATTACAAATTGTAATCCTGTGCCCAGAGCACAGGAGTTCATAAAGAAAAGGTGACACTTCAGTTCTCTACTGATAAAACTTCATCAGATGCTCAGCGTTCCAGACACGATCTACCAGCCGGCCTGTTGTCGTCTTCAATTTGTATGTCCCGGGTCCGACCACAGCATCAATCACGTATGGGCCTTCCCACTTGATGGAAAGTTTGCCTCCCTCCGCCGGCTTGCTGGCCTTCCTACGCCTTAAGACGTAATCACCAACGTCAAAACTCCGGGGCTGGGCTCGGCTGTCCTGGTACGCCTTGACTTGGCGTCGATAGTTTTCTGCTTTGACGAAGGCCCGGTCCCTCCTTTCCTCAATGAGGTGGAGCTCGGCTCGGAGCCTCTCCTCATTGCTAGCTGGTTCGAACTCTTCCATTCGTCGGCTGGGGACTACGGCCTCGAACGGTGCCCTTGCCTCAAAGCCATAACACAAGGCGAAGGGGGTCTCTCCGGTTGCCTTCCTTGGGGTTGTTCTGAAGGTCCAGAGTATATTGTTCAACTCTTCCACCCAGGCAGTCCCGAGGGCCTCCAACTTCTTTTGCAACCCATCGACGATCGTCCTGTTAGTGTTCTCCACCTGTCCATTTGCCTGAGGGTAGCAAACCGCCACCCGGCTGGATTCTACGCCCCACTCTGCGCAGAACTGTCGGAAGGCTTCGCAGTCAAACTGCCTTCCGTTGTCGGATATTATTTGGAGGGGAACTCCGAACCGGCAAAAAATATTCTTCCAAATGAACTTCTTACACTGGAGATGTGTGATGCTGGCGAGCGGCTCAGCCTCGACCCACTTCGTGAAGTAGTCCATCGCGACGATTACAAACTTCCGGTTTCCCGACCCGGTTGGCAAGGGACCGACCAGGTCGACGCCCCATCTCGTGAATGGGAGGGCGGTGCTGATCGGTGTGTACATCGTCGCTGGCCGGCCGGGGCTCTTCTGGAACTTCTGACATGTCTCACACCTCCTTGCATAATCGGCACAGTCTCGCATTATCGTCGGCCAGAAGTAACCCTGGAGAACAACCTTCCTGGCAATCGTGCACGCCCCCTGGTGGGCGGAGCACACGCCCCCATGGAGTTCGGAGACGATCATGTCCGCTTCATGCGGGCGCAAGCACTTTAGCAACGTCCCATTGTAGGACCTTTTGTATAGCTTCCCGTCCAAGACGACGTAGCCCGGAGCTCGTCGGCGGACTAGCCTTGCTTCATCCTCCCTGTCAGGCAGCGTCCCATCGGCGATGTAACGCAGGAGGTCGTCCACCCAGCACCAGGCGACCGGTTGCAAGGGGAGGACGTTGACGGGCGGTGAGGCTGCTATGCTTGAAGTTGTCATCTCCTCAATGCGTGCAATTCTCGAAATGTGTTCGGGCAACCCCTGGGACAGCTTTGAGAGGAGATCAGCGTCCGAGTTTTGATTTCTCGGGACGCAAACCAACTCTGCCTGCTTGAACAGCCCGAGCAATTCCCGGACAGCATCTCGGTACTTCGTCATTCTTTCCTCCTTTGCTTCGAACTCACCTTTAACCTGTGAAACGACCAGCCGAGAGTCACATTTGACCGTTATCCATTCTGCTCCCATGGCGGCTGCTAGTCGCAGTCCGGACAATAGGGCCTCGTACTCCACCTCGTTGTTGGAGACTTTGAAAAGATAACGGTAGGCATAGTAGGCCCGAAATCCCTCAGGGGAGATGAGGACGATTCCGCCCCCACATCCCTTTGCTCCGGCCGACCCGTCTGTTGCTAAGGTCCACCACTGCTCATCGCTCTCCTGTTGTTTCTCTGTCACCTCCCGGGCCGTACACTCCACGATGAAATCGGCCAAAGCTTGGCCCTTGATGGATGTCCGAGGCTGGAAGTCGACCTCATACTGACTGAGGAGCATCGACCACTTCACCACCCGCGCTGTGCCGGGCGCCCTCAGGGCTGCTCCTAGAGGTTGTTCCGACAGGATTCGGATTGGATGCGCCTGGAAGTAGTGTGTCAACTTCTTCGCGGTGATGTAAGCGGCATAGATCGTCTTTTCGAGCGGGGTGTACCGGAGCTCGGCATTCTGGAGGGTTTTGCTTACATAGTAGACGGGACGTTGAACGCCTTCTTCTTCACGAACCAGCACGGAGCTGATCGCGCCTTGAGAAACCCCAAGGTACAGGATCAGCGTCTCCCCCCTTTCCGGCTTGCTGAGTAAAGGCTCGGAGAGGAGGTATTTCTTCAAGTCTTCGAAGGCTCGCTGGCACTCATCAGTCCAGACGAAACCATTTTGCTTCTTTAGGACCTGGAAGAAAGGTAATGATTTCTCAGCGGACTTCGACATGAAGCGCCCGAGGGCTGCTAGCCGACCGGTGAGAATCTGGACTTCTTTCACCGATCTCGGGGGCTCCATGTCAAGTATCGCTCTCACCTTCTCGGGATTTGGCTCAATCCCTCTTCGCGTGACCATGTATCCTAGGAACTTGCCTCCCTGGACAGCAAAGGTACACTTCTTTGGGTTCAGGCGCAGTCGCACTGCCTTCATGATCCCGAAAATCTCTGCCAAGTCATCTGCGTGGTCGGCCGCCCGGGTGCTCTTGACGATCATATCGTCGACGTATGCTTCCATGTTCCTTCCGAGCACCTTCCGGAATACTTTGGCCACCATCCTCGTGTACGTTGCCCCGGAATTCTTTAGCCCGAAGGCCATGACAAGATAGCAAAAAATTCCCTCCGGGGTAACGAACGAGGTCTTCTCCGCGTCATCTTCATGCATAAAAATCTGGTGGTACCCTCGAAAGGCGTCCATGAAGCTAAGGAGCTCACACTCGGCCGTCCCATCGACTAGTTGGTCGATGTTAGGTAACGGGAACGGATCCATAGGACACGCCTTGTTGAGGTCGGTGTAGTCGACACACATCCTCCAGGTCGGCGGCTTCGGGGCTAGGACCACGTTCGCCAACCACACTGGGTATAGGACCTCCCGAATGTGTCCGATACTCAGGAGCATGTTGACCTCCTTCTTCACGAATTCCCTCCTTTCGATGGAGAGATGTCTTCTCTTCTGCTGAACAGGTTTTGCCGACGGGTTGACCGCCAACCGGTGGACAGCGATGCTTCGGTCGAGGCCGGGCATGTCCTCCGGCCCCCATGCGAAGACAACGCTGAAGAGGATCAAGACTCGGATGATTTTTTCCCTCAAGTCGGCCGTGAGGCCGGTTCCAATCTTGACCTTCCGCTCTGGTTTCTCAGGGTCAATCTGGATTTCCTCCACGTCTGAAGTGGGTTCAGCACGGAGCTGACCCTCCTCATACTTCATGGCCTTGTTGTTGATAGTATGGACTCTCAAGTCCTTCTGGCCGATTTGCTTGCAAGCTTTTAGATAGCAGCTCCTAGCCATCCGCTGGTCTCCCCTAGCAACTCCGACACCATTCGGAGTGGGGAACTTCATGCACAGGTGCTCCTGGGATATCACACACCTCAGGTCCTCCAGGGCCGGCCTCCCCATGATGATCTTATGCGGACAAGTTAGGCGTACGACTATGAATTCGACACTTAACTTGGATACGCAGGGCTCGGAGCCCACTATCACAGGGAGGACTATACTGCCTTCTGATTCAATGGAGTCCCCAGTGAAGCCTGAGAGCGGGGTTCTTACCGGGTTCAAGTCCTTTCTGTCCAAGCCGAGCCCCTGGAAGGTATCATAGTACATGATGTTAACGGAGCTCCCGTTGTCTACCAGGATCCGATGGATGACAGTGTCGTTGATCTCGATCTTGATCATCAAGGCGTCCCTGTGCGGAGGCGGCATCGGTGGTAAATCTGCATCAGTGAAGAAGATGGGATCCCTCTTCACCTTCTTGTCGGCGGGAGTCCTGGTTATCTCCCCGATGTATAGGGCTCGGGCCCATTGCTTCCGCTCTCCCGAGGTATCACCTCCTTGGGGTCCCCCGAAGATGTATGAGCACCGATGGTGCTTGCGGGATCCATCCCCCAGGTCGGCCTCATCATCCTCCGAAAGGGCGCCGAGCTCTCGCTTCTTGGCGGGTTGCTTCTCCTTTGACGTGGCAGCCTGGTCGGACCGCTGCCACGTCAGGCTCCTCTTCTGCGGAATGTTTCCTGGTTTGCCAACAAATTGGCCCAGGTACCCTTTTTGGATGAGTTCTTCAATTTGCCGTCGGAGAATGACGCAATCATCTGTATCATGCCCTGCTCTCCGGTGGAATCGACAATATTGGTCGAGGTTGCGCTTGGCTGTCACCACATCACACTCCTCCGGAAAGTCAACTAAGCCTTGCTCCTCCACGTAGTCGAAGACGGCCTCGATCGGTTGAGCAAGTGGAGTCAATTGTTTGACGGGCAGGAGCGGTCCGCTCGGGACGTCCGCCCTGCCCTTGCCTTTGCTCTTGTTACCTTTATACTTGTTTTTGTTGCCAGCCTTGCCGTCAGCTTTCTCGGCACCAGAACCAGCTTCCTTCTCCTTCTCCTCCTTTGCGCCTTCTTCCTCATCTCTCCTCCTCTGCACGGCATCTTCCGCCTCGGCTTGGCGATCGGCACGACCGAGCGCTTCTTCGTACGTGGTGGGGGGACTTCTGACAAAATCTTTGTAAAGCTCACCAGACTGGATGGAGTTTGTGAGCATGGCCACCCCGGTCTTGTCATCAAGGCCCTGGACCTTGATTGACTCAGCCCTCCACCTCGCTAAGAAGGCGGACAATGATTCCTTCTTCCCCTGTTTTAGGCCGAACAGGTGGCTGAAGTTTCTCTTGACGTCTCGGGAGCTCGCAAACCTTAAGAGAAAGCGCTGAGCCAACTCGCGAAAGTTCATGATACTCCCATCAGGCAGAGAGTCGTACCACTCACGAGCTGGGCCGTCCAAGGTGGCAGAGAAACCGCGACATCGGATGGCATCCTCATACCCCATCATCACCATGTAGGAGAGGTATCGAGATACATGATGTTGGGGGTCAGAGGCGCCCTTGTATGTTTCGATGGTGCAAGGCTTGTAGCCCCTTGGCAACGGCGCATCCATGACCGCCCGGGTGAAAGGTTCGGGTATCCGGAGGTCGGCCGTGTAGGGCTCCCCCCCGACGACCCTTCTCCTCAACTCGTCAAGGCGTTGTCGTAGATCTTCCACCTCGGCCGGCGGTGGGTTCCCTCGGACAGCCCTAGCACGGGGCTGGGCATGTCCAGCAGCACCTCCAAGTCGCCTGTGTGCATGAGGTCGGGTCCCCACGTTTTGCCTTCCCATGGAGCCAGTCCGGCTGCTCGCTCGGTGAGAGTGGCGAGAGGACTCGCCTCCTTCCATCTGCATTGAGCGCCCCTGCTGGGCGCCCCTCCCCGCCTGCTGATGGGGTCGGCTGAGCTGCTGGGAGACTTCCTCCCTCCTGTTTTGGTCGGATCCAGAACGTCGCTCGTCACGCCGCCCGGAGGACACCTCCACATCTGCCGGCGTCTGTTGGCGGGCAGGCTCGTCCACGTTTCCGCCAGACACCATCTGTTGGAAACCTTGAGTCAAGGCCCCCAGAACCCGAGTCGCCTCCTGTAGGGCCTCCACCCCGGCATTGAGTCGAACCGGGTCCATGCGCGGAGCATGACGTCGGCCTCCCCCCCGCCGGCTGCGGGCCGAGCGCTCACCTTGGGTGTGGTTGAGCGTCACCCTCAGGTCGCCGTGGCCTGACAATCGGTTCCGAAGGTCGCCTTGGGGCGCCGCCCCCCTGCCCTGTCCATGGTTGTCGAGGGCACGCTGGCGGCCTGACCCGGTGGATTCCTCGGTGTGGACTGAGACATGGTCACGTCGGGACGAGATTCCGGCCATCTTTCTGTGCGATTCCTGCTCAAGTGATTGTGAGAGACAATAGAGGCTCTCAATGAAAGCACCAATGTTGGTCCAAAATAGGACGCTCGTAGGCTTTTAGGAAAGCTACGAAAGACACTCAAGCAGGAAATCAAGAAAGCAGTACGAATAAGGAAAGTGCTAGGAGATTGAGTTGCCAGAAATGACTTGTCTATTATTTGAATCCAACTTGCCTTATATAGGCGATTACAAATGGTAACTGCCAAACGTTATAATGGCTAATTTAATTACCATGTTAATACATAATTAATCACATAAATAAATATCGTATTAATGCCTGGCCGTTACTCTTCCCTGGTTGGCTGGCCGTTGCTCTTCCCTGGCTGGCAGGCTGGGCGCTCGGGCTCCCTGGGCGACAGGCTTCTGCTGGGCCGGAATCAGGCTCCTCGCTAGACTGAAGACGGGCTTCCGGTTGGGCCGGTAGGCAGGCCGTCTTGGGCTTCTGCTCCGCCGGACTTCCACTCCCTGATGGGCCCGGTCGGTTGGGTCGACCTGATATCTGATCGCTGGGTTCACTAGATGGGCTTGCCTGGCGAGACAACAGCCGTGGGCTTGGACCCGCTGATCCAAGTTTGGGGCCAAGTCTGATTAGGCATTGGGCCTAGTCCCATAATCCCATCAAGTACCTTCATAGAATTTGACCATCCTCCAAATTTTGGAATAACTCCGCTCGGATTATGAGTTGCCTTAGCACGAGATGATCTTTTCTTTGTTGTTCTCAATGGAGGCATGATATACTTGAAGACCTTCTTGAACAAGAATTTGACCCAAGCATTAACACACAAAACTCGTTTATCTCTTGTTTTCAAAAAAACATGATGATATGCGTGAAATAAATATTTGCACAAATGATGTGGACGGTCAGAACTCGCATCTAACAACTCGGAAGTGCTTGGATTAGATTTATCATATGCGTCTCATATGATAGGTAATCCTATAATAACATGCAAGTCCCAAAATGTGATCGCCAACTCACCAATGGACGCGAGCAAAGTATTTACCATGAAACACAATGCCTCACAATATGCTTCTACAACATTAGTACACATGTCATACGTGAACAATGAGGCATAAACGACATCACAAATAAGCCCCTCCTCCAGAATGCTTTTACTCGGACTCAAAATGTCCTCAACCTAGTTCAATTAACCTATGATGAATCTTAACTCGCCACCAAATGATAAGGTCTTTTTCAAAGAGGCGTTTTCACTAAGGATCCGTCTACGCAAAGAAGGGGGAATCTCAAAAGAAGACCTATGAATAAAATCAGATACTAAAGTCCGCATAGTTTGAGTTTGATACCTGTACTCACGAGTTTAGTCTGTATATTGGTACAAGACGACAATTGCACCCCAAAGCTCGCGAGTAAATGACTTATACATCTCCGAAAGGATCTTATCGTCGTTCTTCTTGATCGTTGACACAAAGAGATACTTTTTTGCTTCCACGCTTAATTTCTTTATAATGTATCATCTTGTTCTGCAAGAAATAAAAAATGTCATCATTATTACTGTTACTAAAAAAAGGCATATAATAATAATAATAATAATAATAATAATAATAATAATAATAATAATAATAATAATAATAATAATAATAATAGTAATAATAATAATAATAATAATAATAATATAAAAAATAGCTCACGGAAGGGCTCCTCAATCTCTTTTCTCTGGTCATCTTCATGCAAGGGGGAGCAGCAGCCTAGCAATCGATCGTGCTCCTCATCGGCGAACATAAGCATTGGCAAAGAAAAGCCTGCAGCAGGGGGATCGCATCGGCTTCCGACCTCCGGCACGACAGTCGACAGCCCCATCATCTTCTCCGGCAGCGACATCGGGACCTGCGACGGAATCAGCTCCTGGGCGACACCAACCTCTGACAGCACGAGCGACGACCATTCGTCAACCTCGGCGTCTTCTCCCGAGCATTGAAATTCGATCTACTCCTGAACATTCACTGCACCTCTGGACGGAACAGGTTCCTTCTTCTTCAACATATTGCCGAAAATCATATCCTCCCTGGCCCCTGCAATAAGCCAACACAAAGCAACGGGATAGAGAATTAATGATCAAGGAGATATAATCAAGGACTGAAGAAAATAGCTTTAAATCTCTGATCGGAAGTACAGAAAAGAAAAACCCAAATTGACTGATATTTATAAATACCAACGTAAGAGTTTGAGTATGATTCGAATTCGAATTCGAAGAGATGAATCACAGAGAGATTGAGTTTAAGTCCTAATTGGATATCAAAAGCATTATCTCGACTTTTTTGTATCCTAATTTTGGGCCTATTAAAAAAAGAGATAAAGAAGTAAAAATATCTCCAATGCTATAATGTACACGTCGCACATGTGGCATGAATCATAGCCACATAAATATTAGCAAATAAATTATTTCACTCCTTATTTGAATGATTTTATACAATTTTGGTAAGTTTTTCCCTGCAATGTCTACAAGAATGTCAACATCTAGACGGTCTACTTGACAGTGTGGAGAAAAATTTACCAAAACTGTATAAAATCATTCAAATAAGGAGAGAAAGAATTTATTTTCTAATATTTATGTGGCTATTTTTCATGCCAGTTGTACACCGTACACATTTTACCATTGAAGATGCTCTAAATATGCACATGAATTGGTCAGTCATGGTCGAGACTTACTTTTTCCCTTCTGCCGAACATCTCAAAGTGTTGAGGAGGCATATGTAGAAATAATTGAGTTTAGTTGAGGAGGCATATTATTGAGTTTATCAAGTGGAGGGGCTAGGGAGGGTCATGAGGGGTAAGCGCCCCAGCTTCGGGCAATATATTTAATGCCCCTCCTTTTTTCAAAAGTAAATACCAATTAAGGATAATTTTAGATTAAATGTTAAAATAAAAAGCAAAGTCTTTCAAAAAACATACGTGTCTCTAGGAATACAAGTATTGGTTGCAGCATACCACACTCATTTGAATGCAAGTGTGGATTCTTTTAGACATTTAATGACACACAAGTTGGCTCTTCGGGGTTATAGTGAGCAAGAAAGTGTTGAGTTTGACGAATACGTCACATTTCTTGTAACAAAAAAGATCAAAACATTCTTGAAATTATGTTGGATTCCCACCTTAGTGGAGAAATTCACGAGAATTTTAGAATTTTTAGAGATCGATTTCCAAGAGATTATATATATATATATATGTGTGTGTAGGCAAGTAGTATTGAATGTTCTGGAATAATAATGTGAAGTTTTCTAGAGAAATGTGGAACTCACTAAAATCGTGTGGAAGTGTGTAGAAGCCTTTAGAACATTTTGAAGAATTGTGAGATTTTCTAAATCCTTCCAGAAGATAAGAGAAGTTTGTGGATACTTTTTGCAAGAATCTAGATGTATGTGTGGTGATGTATAAAAATTTTTTAGAAAAACTTTTGTGAGACTAGTATAGAGAAGCTTCCCATTTATATGAGAACTTTGATGAGAGCTCTTGAGTGAGTGAAAGTGAGAGTCTCCTTGAAAGAGGAGAGTGAGAGCCTTCTTGTGAGAGAATAAGGCTCAAAGATATCGCTTGATGAATTGTATGTGATCAAGTGAGGTAGAATGTAGTCTCATATACAAAAAGTGAGTGAGGGTAATACAAAGTGATATTGTCAGATTAAGTCTTTGTATTATGACTGTGTGGATATATAAGTGTACAAGAGTCTACGAGTTCGTGATCCTAGAAAAGGTTGGGGTCGTGTTTTTCCAACATAAATATACCACATTTTGAACAAATTAAAACTCGAATGATTGATCTATCGAGATTATAGATTTGATGAGTCAAGCAGTATGTAATGAACTAATTTGTGCTAATGTATTACTCTTTTATTTTTTTTATTATATTTTGAGCAAATACACAAAATTCATTGCCTTCAGTATGCCCCTCCTTCGAAAAATCTCTGACTCCACCACTAAGTTTATCTAAATGCTACCGGACTATTCTCAATGGTACTGACTTCTTTCAAGTATTGTTGGACTAATGTAACTTACATTGGGCCATTCAGCATAATTGATTGGGTCTTGGCAAAATGAAAATATTAATGTGGATCACTTGGATAAAATTTAAGTCATTAAATTAATCTGGATCATTTTAAACTAGTTTTTCACCCGTGCGTTGCACGGGGTAACAAATTACAAAATTATTTATGACTTGGTTGAGTTTGCCCGATCAATTTTATTAAATTAAAATCAACATTCACAACACTGTGTAATTATACACGATATCAACTGATTTGTGTATTATTTTTAACTAATTAACAACATAGCAAGCCTACAAAAAACATGTATAAAATGTGAGTTTACAATTACAATTCTAGCAAGTGGTCTTCACAAATCTAGGTACTTGAGATTATTTCAAATATAAAGACATCAGTAAAAAACTTGATAAAGATGTTGATGCAAAAAAAATCAAAATAGATCGTTGCAATGTAGTAATGTAGTATACGCAATAATTTGCATCCAACATAAATATATTATATGGGGTGAGATTTGGGGAAAATTGATCACACAACTCCTGAAAAAGTTGATTGACAATAATGATAATCTCTGGTCGCTCTAGCTTTCTTCTGTCATTAGCGCATGTATACTTAAAAAAGTAAAAAAAAGTGATAATCCCATCTTCAAAGCTTGTGCATATTCACCTCATAATGTACATGACAATTACTTTTTACTGTCGATAAAAATATGAAAACAACAAATGTCATATTCAACAACTCGGGTAAAATTGTAATGTTATTTAATAATTTAATAATTACTTCAAAAGATTGTTTGATGCGTTGTTATATTCCAAATCTTTGAGGATGAATTCTGCTGCTCGCGGCAATTCATTTGGTTGCAGGGAATACTTGATGTTGTCATACTGAAACCTTTTAATTGTATCTGCAAAAACGAAAAATGGGAAAAATGAGTTCAGCAAGGATACAACATTTAAAAAAGGATGTACTGTTATGAATTATTACCGAATAAGTCATCTCCAACTCTCTTATTCATATTTAGAATCTTGGTGAAATTTTTTAGAAAATACAAATCCCTACAAAATTTTATCTCTAACGAAAGATCAACTTCCTTGATCTTTGTTTTCTTAACAAAAATATAACATATCCAAAAGTCAAAAATAAGTAAAACCCTTTTTTACGTTCAAAATAACTAAAACCTTAGTATGACACATAAGTTGCATATTAATTACCAGCAGAACTCTTAAATGGTCCAAATATAACCTACCTTTTTTTATTGTAAGCAACTATGATGCACCGATACTTCACCCCAATGCCGTATCAGCGTATCTGATATGTATCTGATATGTATCTGATACTGATACTCACCGATATGTGTCCTGTACGTATTGGGTCTGTATCCGTTTTTTTTTTTTTTTTTTTTTTTTTTATTGGGTCTGTATCCGTAATTTAATAAAAGTATCGGACTTATTTTTAAAAACAAAGATACTTCCGATACCCGTATATGTGTACCCGATACACGTATCTAACCCTATAACTCCGATTTCATACACGATATGACAAAATTAGTAGCCGCCCAAGCGAACACAATATGTGGAACATTAGTAAAGATAATTTCAGGAATATAGAGAATATTGGAATACTATAATTTGTCAATTTGAATTGTCACTTGATGAACATTAATTAAAATCAGTCTTGTTAAAATAGTTAAATGTAAATGCAAATAGAGAACCAAAAATATTATTTGAATTTAAATCGGAATATCAGTACTTAAGTTTTTTTAGTCTAATCTTTGAGATTTTATTATAATTGTAAATTTTTTATATTGTTATTATTTTATTCATGAACCTCTGAATTATATATTTTTGAAAATTATACCCTATATTATTACGGAATATTATTTATAAATATACCCCCGTACGCGTATCCTATAATTTTTGAAGTTGCCGTATCACTATACCCGTATTCGCGTATTGGCGTATCCGTGCAACACAGGTAAGCAACATACCTTACTTTTAAGTTGCATAAAGAAAGGTAAATAGCTTTCCATATTTTTCTAGAACACATACTTTCAAAACATCGCACTACCTATCTTGTTTTCTAGTTGAGATTATTTTATACCACCCAAAATATTTATACTCCAAAGTTTGATATGAAAGAAGCCTAAAACCTACTTAACATGTATCATACGAAATTTGGAAAACAAAAGGTCAAAATATCACATAAAAAATTCATATTCTAATTGGCAATAAACCTTACCAAATAATTTCAAAGCATAGTTAAAGCTCAGATTTATCAAGTCTCCCCAAGAGATACAAATGAATTAACTTCTACTCCCCAATAAGAGCCTTAGCTATGGAATTTGCTGCCCCCCCCCCCTCTCCCCCCCAACTGCAGTGTCTATTTTCACACTTCAATCCCTACACAAAGACCCTAAATATAAACATGAAAAAAAGACATACTTCAAGGTAGAAAACCATTGAGCATAAAGACTATACGTGTTCCTTAAATTATGCTATGAAAAAACATCTCGCTATAATAACACAATTTTAAATCACCTGAAACATTTAAGGTGCCTATGAACACACATTAGTATCCTAATGAAGTACATTAACACTTCAGTTTCTCATTCAATTGTAATATTTGAGAGACAAAACTATTTCCATAATAGTAAATATTAATAGTAGACATACACTATTACATCACTTCTCAGGGTTTAGAGTCTCACCACATGGAGAGAGCTAGGACAAAAAGGAAGAAAAATAATACCAAAAAGAAAGGAAAAAATCGCAGTATGTATTAGAGAAAAAAGCTGTATTTTTTCACTCCTTTTCACTCTTTTAGGATTCTCAAATCATACCCCAAAAAGAACGAAAAAGTTGTTTAAATTCAGAATCCGTAAGGTCGTGTTGGATAGTGACGTGGCGACTAAATCTGGAACATATCATATATCTAGCTTGCAATGTATAATAAGTTGACCTGGAAGAAGGATGGGTGCCTTAGTGATTTTCATAGCAGGGTAAGGGTAGTAACAATTAGAATTGGGTTATTCCTTCGAATTCTTGTGAAGTTGTATAAAAAGTCGATCCATTACTCTCTGTTGTCAAAGATTCAAAAAGGAAAATGCAGAACAAATAGAAAACAAAAGGCCTCTTGATCTAAAGCAGTTTTCATTATATTGAGAGTAGTAAAGTGACTTAAACTATCGCAAAATAAGTCCTAAAACCTTAGCACCATAATTTTCCCCACATCATGAAAACTTGCAATAAAAAAGTAAGTTTATAACTTTAGCTTAAAGTTTTTCAAATAATAAAACGGCATGTCAAAAATAAGCATGAAACACAATTAGGAGATTACACTAACCAATAATTACTCTCCATCTATGTTAATTGGAAAAAGAAGAAGAAGGATGTTTAATACTTCACTAAATGGAATCTCCAGTCTCTTGGGCAGATCTATCTGGCGGCAGAAAAAAGATTAGTTAGTTAAAAGAATCCCTAATCTATAAGAAAACTTTATTTCAAAGAGAAGAAGTTTTAGAGGGGTACGATTAATCGGGATAAGTAAATCCTAGAAGTTTACCAATATACCCTAAAAAGGATAGGCGGGGAACTCACTTAGTTGAGTTAAAACTTTTTGTGAAAAGCTTTTTGTTATGTTAAAAAAAAGGACAAAACGCATTGTGCATTGTGTACTTAAATATGAATGAAATTATCTTTTCAATAGATTGGGAAAAACAAAAAAGAGTGAACTTTTTATTAGCAAACGTGATTTTTACAGGAATAAAACAGAGCAAGCCATAAAATTATAAGCTACAGAAAGGAACAAAACTCCATTTTGTAATTTTATATGAACAAAGTTGGCCTTTCATATAAAAGAGAAAGAAGTTGCATATTATCTTCTTTCAGATGATATCTTTGTTTATTAATTCTTTGGCTTGAGGAGCTTCACTTCTAAATGTGGTGGGAACATTAAAATCTCATAATACTTTCACAATGCAAAATACTTCCACTTGGTTGAGAACCTCATATTTCATAGAAAACTAAAACATGTTGTTTGAAGCATCAGGTGCTAAGCTTTTTATGACCAGTGTTCAGCCTAGTATCTTCAATTACATCAATTTCTTTAAACCACTCCACACAATGTCTATACATGTGCTGCTAAATGTAATCTAAATGCTCCTTAAATCATATACAATATATCCTATATTGTTTATGACTTACTGCTTATGTTTGTTTTAAATCACAACACATCCACGTTCCACATGTACCCCATATTTGACTACACTTAACCCTAAAGCCTCGCAGAAAACTTTCTTAAAATAGGGAGCTAGATCTGTCCGGCATCAATAAAATGGCCATTGCTCTATAATTACTTGACTATTTTTTCCAAACACACTTAAACAAAGAGAGCAATGACGTGCACTTTGTCGTGGTATGCACTCAAAATAATACAATACGACACTAATACGTAGTATAGTGTAGTAAGGTTCGTATCCACAGGGAAAGGAATACTTCTCTCTTTATAAACTAGTAACAAAAGGGGGGTTTAGGTTTGAGTGATTTAATTAAAATTAACACGAAGATGAACGAGTTATGTGATTTAATTAATGAGAAGAATACTTGGCTTTGCTTTTATTCACTTAATGAAATGTTCGTCGATCCCGGTTGTATCTTTAACTATCTTCCTCTCGAATACTCAATCGAGGAGTATATCCAATTCATCGAGGGTAGTTATCAATAACAAGAAGCGTTCATTAACAAAACTTACTATCGAGTCAATATAGAACAAGCGCCATATATTAACTTGATAGTAGCAATAAACTTAAGATGAAAACGATTGAGATTGATAACCTCAACTCAAGCGGTTTATTGGTTTAATCAATATAATTAATTCCCCTTAGATTATTAATCATGAGAAGCATGCATTAGCAATCCAAGTTTACTACCATTGAAAGAACCGAATTAATAACAAGCGTATTAACCGATTGATTCTAGTAATAATTAATATATAGAACAAGACTAGTTGATACTTTAAGTAATGCTCAATATATTAATATGGGATATGAATAGGAAGTAATTAATATTCAAGGAAGAAGATTAAAGAAAATAACTCACAACTTACAAATCATTAAGCTTCAAAGTAGCAAAACCAAGATGGAAGAGTTTAGCTCCTCATTTGGAGACTAAACATGATAAAAATATAAAGAAAGAACTTGTCTAAACTGAGCTTAGAAGTATATAGGAATTGGTGAAAATATTGTGAAGGAAAGGAGGTGTATTTATAGGCTTTTTTGGGGTGCAGGTCGGGTACTCGATCAAATATATATATGTACTCGATCGAGTATGTGTAGAAAGCTGAATTCGATCCATACTCGATCGAATTTAGAGTAGAATTCATAGCTATACCCGATCGAGTATGTCGGTGTACCCGATCGGGTATAGACACTCGATCGTGGGGAAATCTTCTTCTGCATGTTCCTTTGTTTTCGGATCCGATCCGATTTGAAATTTCAACCAGATACTCGATCGAGTATAGGAGATACTCGACCGAGTATAGACAAAAATAAGGAGTTCCTTCTTTTGTCTTGTGATTTTGCACCTTCCTTCCACTTTTGGGGTTCACCAACTGTCCTTGAGTGATGTTAGACCTGTTTGAGCTCAGAATAATCCTAATCTAAACAATTTACAAGAATCTTAACAAACTAAACTATTACACCGAAAGTGTGTAATTTCCGAAATACTAAACAACCAAAACTAACTAAAAATGTAAATAAACACACGGAAATTACAAACGTATCAACTCCCCCACACTTAGTTCTTTACTCGTCCTCGAGTAAAGTTCAATGTTTACAAGTGTAAAGACTCCCAGAGTTTCAATAGTTTTAACAAGATAAAAACACAAAGACCACCAAAGATAAAATATGAGTTTTAATGCTCAAATTACAAATATCATCTTGGGTTTTATGGTCTTCTAGTGTTCATCTTCTCTTCCTCTTCTCCTTTTTCTTCTTCTTCTTCTAAGAGATCAAATGAGTTCCTGCACACAGAAAAATATTCCTCTCATATCTCTCATTTTGCCTAGGAGCCTTTTCAGGTTTTCATCCTAGCATCTCTTTGTGTTTTTCCATCCTCCCTAACTCACTCATTTTTTTTAAAGCCATTTTTGCTTAGATTGCCCATTTTTTTGGGTTTTCAACCCAACTAGCATTTCCTTTTTCTTTCATTTCCTTTTTTTTTGTTTTTTTTGTTTACAAAGAGTAAAAGAAAAGTCATGCATAGTAAAGGGTAGAAAATAGTATTACATACCATGAGGAGTCTCCCCCCTTCTCAGTCCAAGCACTGTCCCTAGTGCCCGCCTTCGCCGCCATAGTATCCGCCTCCAAAGCCTCCTCCAAAATTCCCGTCGCCCATGTGAGTGTCTATGTCATCCCCGCCATCAAAACCGCCACCCCCGGAGCTAGATCCTCTAAAATTGCCCCATTGAGTGGGGTCATACCAAGAGGGGGGTGGGGGTGGTTGAGCCATGGTATGGAATTGGCCTTGATGAGCCATGTAAGAGTACATAGGTCCATAAAACCTACGTTGATCTTCTTCATATCTGCGGTTGTCTTCGGCCCGTTGCTCCTCGAGTCTTTGAAATCCCGCCCGTTGTTCCTCCCGATATTTGCCAACTTCATTGGTAACTTTGTTGAATCCTTCAAGCAGTTGTTGGAAGTAATCGGGAGGTGGGGAAGCTTGGTTCGGTTCGGGCATGTGGTGATGTGCAACTTCGGGTTCGTGGTATTCGGGTTGAGGTTCTTGGTCGGGTTGGTCTTCAGGGAGATCTTGGGCTTGTGGTTCTTGGAGATGTGGTGGAAGGGCGTGTGAGAATAAGTAGTGGGGCACTTCGAACTCTGGTCTATAGGTTATTTTGGGGAGGTCCCGGTTTGGCATTAGAAAGTATTGGACCGGTTTGGTGTGTATGATCCAATTATACATGTTCTTTTGTCGTTCCCCATCATAGACCGTATGGGAGAAAGCGGTGCATCCCGAGCGGCCTAGCCAACCTATGTCCATCAAACAATAGTCGGGTATAGGAGAGTTATCCGTATACCCGAACTTGCTTGCCAAGTGCATGATTACCCCACCCATTACAATGGCTCCTTTTGCCACGCTTTCCTTTTTTATGTGTGCCCAAATGAGATTGCACAAATTGAAGTCCACATGACGACGAAATAAGGCTACGGAGATCAAACACACATCCCCTATCCTAGTGTGGTGGTTGTTGGGCCGCCCAAGCAAGCAATTTGCCAAGAATTTCAAAAACAACCGGAGGATGGGGTGTTGGACATGACTTATATACATTTGGGAGGAGCTAAAGTTCACTTCCCCAGTCATCTTGGTCCATAGGGAATGCCCAAAAATGGTGTTATCGGAGATGGACCTTTCGTAGGGGACGGGGATGCCAAAATGTTCGGAAAACTCGAGTTTCGTTATCGAATAGTTTCGGTTAAACAGACGAAACTCGAGTCTATCATCCCTAAAATCCGCCTCATCACTTTCAAAGTGCACTGAACTCATGAATTCATAAATAATCCTTTCATTTGAGTTGTATTTCATATTGAAAACAAGGTCCATGTTCAACTCATGAAAGAATTTCCTCATAATCTTATACACTCCTAATTCACGTAGTGCATCATGGCATAGAAAGCGGGAGGGTTTTACTTGCCTTTTTACGGTGGTGAGGAGTCGGGCTCGGTGATCGTTGTCGGCGGGAATGAGGTCCTCGAAACCCGGGATGGGTGCCATAGCTCTAGAACTCTGCCCTTTGTCCTTCTTTGGAGCCATTGTTGATGATGTTGAGTTTGAAATCCAAAAATTCGAATTTGGGGTAGGTTTTTTTGGATTTTGTGGATGTTTGGGAAAAATGGGATTTATGGGTATAGATATGGAGAGGAGAGTGAGGGGAGTATTTTGGTGGTAAAATGGGGTGATTTGGTGAAGAAATGAGGGAGATATGGTAGAGAGAAGGTTGAAAAATGGAGGTTTGGGGGAGAGGGGTTCGAAGTTGGGAGTTTGTTTGGGGAAGATGAAGTGTTTTTGGGTGTTGTTTGGGTATAAATCGCAGGGGTACCCGATCGAGTATCCCTGTATACCCGATCGGGTACCGGAGGCAGTGGGGCAGAAAAGTTTATTTTTCACACATACTCGACCGAGTATGGATATGTACGCGATCGGGTATAGGTGGCAGGGGTTTATTGCTGTTGTTTTTCCACAAATACTCGACCGAGTATGGGTATGTACTCGATCGGGCCTCAAAGACAGGCTTCCGATGGAGTTGATTTTCCAGGCATACTCGACCGGGTATGTTACAATACTCGATCGAGTATGCCTGTATCTTTGAAAATTGATCTGCACCTCGATCGAGTATGGAAACCGGGTCCACTTTTTTACCCATACCCGACCGAGTATTACAGAGTACTCGATCGGGCATGTCCCCAGATACATTTTTTTTTTCATTTTTTTTATTTTTGACACGCACACATAATGAAATAAGTTGAAAAGAAAACATACCTTACTTGGGTTGCCTCCCAAGAAGCGCTTAATTTAACGTCGCGGCACGACGCCATGGTATAGTTCATCCTTCATAGATTGGATCGACGAGATCCATGCATTTAACGCTTTCTTTTGAAAAACTTTCAAGGAACGGTTTGAGTTGATGTCCGTTAACCTTGAGGATTTTGCCGGTGTCGAGGCTCTTTATTTCAACTGCTCCGTGGGGGTAGACTTTGACTACCTCGAATGGTCCTTCCCATCGTGACCTCAGTTTACCGGGGAAAAGACGAAGGCGTGAGAGAAAGAGAAGGACTTTGTCTCCGATTTGGAAGTCCTTTCTCATTATCATTTTGTCATGCCATACCTTTGTCTTTTTCTTGTAGATGGCGGCGTTCTCATAGGACTCAAGTCGAAGTTCCTCTAGCTCTTGGAGTTGTAGCTTCCTTTGCATCCCCGCTTGCTCCATGTCAAGATTGAATGTTTTTACCGCCCAATAAGACTTATGTTCAAGTTCGACCGGGAGATGGCAGGCCTTCCCGAACACAAGTCTATAGGGAGACATTCCAATTGGTGTTTTGAAAGCGGTTCTATATGCCCACAAGGCATCATCTATCCGAAGACTCCAATCTTTACGGTTAGGGTTCACCTTCTTTTGGAGTATAGACTTCAACTCCCTGTTTGAGACCTCGGCTTGGCCGTTTGTTTGCGGGTGATAGGCGGTGGAGAGCTTGTGGGTAACACCATATTTCTTCAACAAGGCACTCACAGTTTTGTTGTGGAAGTGAGTGCCCCTATCACTTATCAAAATGCGCGGGACTCCAAACCTTGAGAAGATGCGGGCTTTGATAAAGTCTGCCACTACTTTGGCATCATCGGTTTTGGTGGCTTTTGCTTCCACCCATTTCGAAACATAGTCCACTGCCAAAAGAATGTATAGATTTCCATGGGAGTTAGGAAAAGGTCCCATGAAATCTATTCCCCATACATCAAAGATTTCTACGTAGAGCATTGGTACTTGTGGCATCTCATGTTTTCGAGATATGTTGCCCATGTGTTGGCAGTTGTCACAAGATTGACAAAAGATATGGGCATCCTGAAATAAGCTCGGCCACCAAAAACCGCATTCAAGTACCTTCATGGACGTTCGCTTGCCTCCAAAGTGTCCACCGCATGCATGGGAGTGGCAAAAGGCGAGGATGGATGCAATCTCTGTTTCAGGAATGCACCTTCTAATGACTTGATCTTTGCAATGTTTCCATAAATATGGTTCATCCCATACGTACTGTCTTGCATCGTGTTGGAGCTTCTCTCTTTGAGCTTTAGAGAAGCTTGGTGGAAACCTGTTTAGAACAAGGAAATTAACAATATGAGCGTACCAAGGACGAATTTCCTTAAGAGAGAAAAGACTCTCATCGGGAAATTCCCCCCGAATATCTTCTTTGATATGATCACTTCCTTCATCAAGGACTAAACGGCTCAAGTGATCGGCCACCAAGTTCTCCATGCCCTTCTTGTCCTTGATCTCAACATCAAATTCGCTCAAGAGTAATATCCACCGAATCAACCTTGGCTTGGCCTCCTTTTTTGTCATCAAAAACCTAAGAGCCGCGTGATCGGTGTAAATGATCACTTTGGTTCCAAGTAAATATGATCTGAATTTTTCAAGTGCATAGACGACGGCCAACATTTCTTTTTCGGTGGTGGAGTAGTTTCTTTGTGCATCATTGAGTGTGGTGGATGCATAGTAGATCACGTGAGAAGCTCTTCCCACCTTTTGGCCCAAAACGGCCCCGACCGCATAGTCACTAGCATCACACATGATCTCAAAAGGGAGAGACCAATCGGGTGCTTGAATGATAGGAGCAGTCACTAGTTTTTCCTTCAAAGTTTTGAAGGCCTTCTTGCAATCCTCGGAAAAAATGAACTCCACCTCCTTTTGCAAAAGAGTGCACAAAGGAGATGCAATCTTTGAGAAGTCTTTGATGAATCTCCGGTAAAAACCTGCATGTCCAAGGAAAGATCGTATCTCCCTAACGGTGGTAGGGTAAGGGAGTGACTGGATGACTTCAATTTTGGCTTTGTCAACTTCTATCCCTTTGGATGAGATCACATGCCCTAGAACAATTCCTTCTTCCACCATAAAGTGGCATTTTTCAGAATTCAAAACAAGGTTTGATTCTAAGCAACTTTTGAGCACAAGAGATAGATGACATAAGCATGAATCAAATGAGTCTCCATGGATTGTGAAGTCATCCATAAAGACCTCCATAAAAAGCTCAACATATTCAGAGAATATGCTCATCATACATCTTTGGAAGGTGGCCGGTGCATTGCAAAGTCCAAATGGCATGCGTCGATATGCAAAGGTGCCAAAAGGACAAATGAAAGTGGTCTTTTCTTGATCTTCAGGGGCTATGGGCACTTGAAAGTACCCGGAATAGCCATCAAGGAAGCAATAGAATTTATGCCCCTCAAGCATTTGATCAATGAAGGGTAAAGGAAAGAAATCCTTTCTAGTTACCGCGTTGAGGCGACGGTAATCTATACATACCCTCCATCCATTTTGAATTCGGGTGGGCATAAGTTCTCCATGTTTATTTTCCACCACCGTGACTCTGGTCTTCTTGGGAACAACTTGGGTTGGACTAACCCACTTGCTATCGGATATGGGGAAGATTATCCCCATTTGGAGTAATTTGATGACTTCCTTTTTGACCACCTCCATCATAGGTGGGTTCAATCTCCTTTGCGGTTGGCGCACCGGTTTTGCGTCATCCTCCATCAAAATGCGGTGCATACATGTAGATGGACTAATGCCTTTGATGTCGGCTATAGTCCATCCGATTGCAAGTTTGTGCTCTTTAAGCACTGCAATCAACTTCTCTTCTTGATCTCCGGTCAATTTGTTTGAGATTGTGACCGGCAAGGTTTCTTTTTCTCCCAAAAACACATATTTCAAGTGTTTTGAGAGTGGCTTTATCTCAACATCGGGGGCCTGCAAAATGGAAGGTAAAGGCTTCTCTTCGGGGATGGTTAGTGGAAATGCTCTTGACCCCGGTGGCATGAGTGGAAGTTGGAAGTGATTATCCAATTCCACCATCATGGTTTGCATATTGGGAGTCAAGGCAAGTTCTAAAGAATTTTCCCCGAAATCATTTTCAATCATGCTCAATAATTCGTCCTCTCCATTTATTTCAAAAGTATCTTGTACAAGAGGATCAATAATATCAATGACAAATAGAGAATGATTTTCATTTGGGTATTTCATGGAGTCATAAATGTTGAATTCAACTTTATCTCCATCAAATTCCATTGTTAAAGATCCGCTAAAAACATCAATTTTAGCTCTAGCGGTCTTTAGAAATGGCCTTCCTAAAAGGATAGGAACCGCATTCTTATCATTTTCCATTTCCAAAACATAAAAGTCGGCGGGAAAGATCAAATTGTCTACCATAACTAGTACGTCTTCGACAATACCCTTAGGGTAGGCGTTTGATCTATCCGCAAGTTGGATAACCACTCCGGTTTCGTTTAAAGGGCCAAGCTCAAGTGATTTATACAAAGAATAAGGAATAACATTGATTGATGCTCCTAAATCTAGCATGGCCTTTGAAAACGTAGTGCCGCCCAACTTACAAGGTATAGTGAACATTCCGGGGTCATTGTATTTCTTTGGAAGTTTCTTTTGAAAGACCGCGGAAACACGTTCACTAACTTGAACTTTTTGTTTTCCATTGAGTCTATGTTTTCTTTTTATTGTACAAAGCTCTTTGAAAAATTTTGCAAATCTAGGGACACCTTTTATTAAGTTAAGGAGGGGGATATTTACCTCACATTTGGAGAAAGTCTCATAGATATCTTTGTCTTTCTCCACCTTCCGTGTTTCCTTCAGAGCTTCGGGAAATGGGGCTTCAACTTCTTGGATGGCCGGTGGTGGAGTCGGCATGTGAACCTCCTCCTCTTCCGGTAGAGCTTTGTCCACAATCTCCTCTTCTTCTTCCTCGCCAATGTGGCTTTTGGCTTTCTCCTTGGCAATCACCAACTCTTTGCCACTCCTCAATGTTACCGCATGGGCTTGTTGCCTAGGATTCGGCTCCGTTTGAGATGGAAGCTTTGTTGAATCCTTGGCTTCAAGCCTACTCACCGCACTTGAGATTTGGCTCATTTGATTCTCAAGGTTTTGGATGCTTGATTTTGTCTCATGTTGGAATTGAACCATGTTTTGTTGCATGGTTGAGACATTTGAGGTGAGTGCTCGGATCATGTCTTCGGTGGACATAGTTGAGCCTTGCCCTTGGGGTTTAGAGTATGGTTGCTTTTGAGGAAATTGGTTTTGTGGAGGGTTATTTTGTGGTGGGTTTCCTTGCGGATTCCCATATCTCAAATTGGGGTGATCTCTAAACCCGGGATGATAAGTATTGCCATAGGAGTCGTACCTTCTTTGATTTGGGAACTCCAAAGCGTTGACTTGCTCGGAGTTGTCTTCTTGCAGCGTCGGGCATGCATCGGTGGGGTGGCCTTGTTGTGTACAAATGCCGCAGACCTTAACTTCTTGGGTTTTGGAATTTAAAAGAAAATCCTTAACCAAAGAAGTCAAGCCGGCAACTTGACTTTCTAGTGACGATGTTGATTCTGCCGCCATAACTCTTTTTGTTGATGACCGCCCGTTGTGATATCTACAATTCTCGGCCAACTCCGAGATAAGATTCATAGCTTGGGAAGGGGTTTTGTTGACGATTCCTCCTCCACATGCGGCGTTGATCATTCGTCTATCATCATTGCAAAGACCATCATAAAAGTATAGAATGAGGTCTTGCTCCGAGTAGCCGTGGTATGGACAGCTTGCGCAAAGTTTCTTGAATCGTTCCCAATATTCGTAGAACGATTCATCGTCATTTTGCTCCACATTGCTGATTTGTTTTTTGATAGATGAGGAGACAGAGGCGGTATAGTACCTTTCAAGGAAAGCCTTTTTCATTGCCGCCCATGTGTCTATACTTCCCGAAGGAAGATAGAATAGCCAATCCTTTGCGGTGTCCTTGAGTGAGAATGGGAAAGCCCGCAATTTGATTTGCTCCTCGGTGACTCCATTAGGGCACATGCTTGTGCACATAACATGGAACTCCGAGAGGTGTTTATTCGGATCCTCCCCTCTTAGGCCATGGAAGGATGGCAAAAGATGAATGAGCCCAGATTTCAGCTCAAATGTATTACCCTCGTTGAGTGTAGGGAAGGTAATACATAACGGTTGTTGATTCAAGTTCGGAGCTGTGAGCTCCCTCAAAGTTCTCGTTTCTTGAGCCATAGTGATTGGCTCTTCGTTCTCGCTAGAATAAGAACTAGTGCTTGATGATTCCTCCGAAGAAGTATTCGGAAATAAATTCCTAAACCTCTCGAAGGCTTGTTCCGTTTCGGGATTTGTTTGGTAGGTGATTTGGTTTATAGATCGGTGTTTAACCATATACTCAAACAAAGCTCAGAAATAGAAAATAAGAATTCTTTATATTTTTATTTAAATTTTTTTTTGATTTTTCTTGAAATAAAATAAAAAGAAAAATAATTGCCTTTCCCCGGCAACGGCGCCAAATTTGACGTGCACTTTGTCGTGGTATGCACTCAAAATAATACAATACGACACTAATACGTAGTATAGTGTAGTAAGGTTCGTATCCACAGGGAAAGGAATACTTCTCTCTTTATAAACTAGTAACAAAAGGGGGGGTTTAGGTTTGAGTGATTTAATTAAAATTAACACGAAGATGAACGAGTTATGTGATTTAATTAATGAGAAGAATACTTGGCTTTGCTTTTATCCACTTAATGAAATGTTCTTCGATCCCGGTTGTATCTTTAACTATCTTCCTCTCGAATACTCAATCGAGGAGTATATCCAATTCATCGAGGGTAGTTATCAATAACGAGAAGCGTTCATTAACAAAACTTACTATCGAGTCAATATAGAACAAGCGCCATATATTAACTTGATAGTAGCAATAAACTTAAGATGAAAACGATTGAGATTGATAACCTCAACTCAAACGGTTTATTGGTTTAATCAATATAATTAATTCCCCTTAGATTATTAATCATGAGAAGCATGCATTAGCAATCCAAGTTTACTACCATTGAAAGAACCGAATTAATAACAAGCGTATTAACCGATTGATTCTAGTAATAATTAATATATAGAACAAGACTAGTTGATACTTTAAGTAATGCTCAATATATTAATATGGGATATGAATAGGAAGTAATTAATATTCAAGGAAGAAGATTAAAGAAAATAACTCACAACTTACAAATCATTAAGCTTCAAAGTAGCAAAACCAAGATGGAAGAGTTTAGCTCCTCATTTGGAGACTAAACATGATAAAAATATAAAGAAAGAACTTGTCTAAACTGAGCTTAGAAGTATATAGGAATTGGTGAAAATATTGTGAAGGAAAGGAGGTGTATTTATAGGCTTTTTTGGGGTGCAGGTCGGGTACTCGATCGAATATATATATATGTACTCGATCGAGTATGTGTAGAAAGCTGAATTCGATCCATACTCGATCGAATTTAGAGTAGAATTCATAGCTATACCCGATCGAGTATGTCGGTGTACCCGATCGGGTATAGACACTCGATCGTGGGGAAATCTTCTTCTGCATGTTCCTTTGTTTTCGGATCCGATCCGATTTGAAATTTCAACCAGATACTCGATCGAGTATAGGAGATACTCGACCGAGTATAGACAAAAATAAGGAGTTCCTTCTTTTGTCTTGTGATTTTGCACCTTCCTTCCACTTTTGGGGTTCACCAACTGTCCTTGAGTGATGTTAGACCTGTTTGAGCTCAGAATAATCCTAATCTAAACAATTTACAAGAATCTTAACAAACTAAACTATTACACCGAAAGTGTGTAATTTCCGAAATACTAAACAACCAAAACTAACTAAAAATGTAAATAAACACACGGAAATTACAAACGTATCAAGCAACATTAAGCAACTAAGCATATTAATCCTCAACTAAGCACATATGCCCAGACAGATTAAGCAAATTAGATACATAAAGAAAGGATCTAAGTTTACTCCTTAGTCACAGAGTCATTACATCATGCCCGACTAAAATAACAATGAAAGAAAAAAAATAACTAAAAAATTGATGGTTGAATAAAAAGGGTGCAAATGCACAAAACAGACAGAATTAATATCACTTTCTTGTAGTTGTACATATGGTAGAACTAATCATTTTTTTTATTTTAGTTTCTTCAAACACTGGCATATTTGAATGAATAAGGAATTAGTAAGTGATGTACCTCCTCCTCCTCAATGATAACGATTTCAATCATATATGGTTTAGAGGAATTTCACTTTTCAGGAACAATCCATCTTCGAACTACTCTCACATAGCTTTGACATCCAACTGCGTGTTAATATTCTTCAAAACCACATTGAAGGGAGCACTTGCAGTCATTGGAGAATTGATAGAGATTACATACACTTTCTTCTAAATCTAGGGGTTTAAATGAAATCCAAGAGAAATTAAGATGATGATACTAACCGGAAGAATGATTGAGATGGACTGTAAAGTCGTGAGCAAAATCGAGTGGAAATTTGTCTGCGAAATCAATAAGCACAGATCACTATTTTTTGAAAATAATACTCTAAATCCAAATTGAGTAGGAAGGAGAAGAGATGAAGAAGATAAAATTTTCATTTTTGGAAAATCCAAGAATCAATGAGTAGAGAGGAGAAGAGATGGAGATGAGGTAGAATTGTGAGCTAGAATCGTAAGAAAATCTCAGGCACCCAGATGCGTTTAATGAGAAATAATAGGTTGTTCCAGAAACACCCTTTGCACGAGCGGGAAACCCACTTAACTCGATTAATATAGATATATAGATATCCAATTAATTTAATTATAAATTAAGCCATTAAAAGAATGGACCGGTCTTATTAATTTCTTCATTTTGAGTCCTCTATGAAATAGTGGCCTAATGAATAAGAGACAATTTCAATTAATGAAGATGGCAACAAATCTAGTTTAGAAATTCATCCATACGCATGAAAATAGCTACGAGTCTTGTTAAGAAAGTTGTCCAGATACACTGCATAAGTGTTGATTTTTCTAGTTATTAAGAGTCCGTTTGGTAACACTATTATTCGGCTTATCAGACTTATCAACCAAGTTTTTCAGCAAACACGTAACTTCTGATTGCCGGAGTTTTTCAGCCGGTCCAGTAACAGGCCCAAGGAAAAAATAACAAAATAATTCGGTGACATTTTTGTAATTAATACGAAAATCACGGTTTCTACTAAATGAGTACTAGTGTACTGTTAATGAGCAATAGTCCAATTTTAATGAGTATTAAGCGTCTAATAATGAGCACCGTGTTATTACAAGAAAACTGATATCACAACTAAAAAATGGTGACATTTTAGTAATTTAAACGAAACTCGCGATTTTTGCTAAATGAACAGTATTGCACTTTTAGTTAGCATTAGGCTTATTTTGTTGAGTATTAGCAGCCTAAATGAGATCTTAATTGATACTTGCTTCATACTATCTATTTTTAATTCACTTTTTTCTTTTTCTTTTTTCTTTTATAAAAAACCTACGGAGTATTAAACTATATCTATAGAACCTATACTCAACTCTTATGAATTTAATATGCAAATCTAATGTAATATGGTACTTTTAAAATATGCATTGATATAAAATTTTAAAAATGAGCGTAACATCAATATCAAATGAGCATACGTAATTTACAAAATGAGTATTACAGCGATATCAAATGAGCACACATACTTACGAAATGAACTTCAAAAATTTCAATATGCTCGAATATTAAATGATAATATTTTGCGGATTTAGTGAGGGGTTAGAGCCTTAGGGCAACTCCAACAAGCACCAATTTCTACACCAAAATGGTGTATTTGCCAAAAAAATGCTCCAATAGCAACACCATCTTTAACACCATTTCACCATTTTGGTGGAGAGCCTTTGGCTTTACGCCATATATGGTGTACACCAAATCCAACACCATCTTCTTTTTTTATTTTTTTTTATTTCAAATGTGACCCAAAGTTTTGATTATTATAGTTTTGACCCATTTTTAAAACAACAAATTAGGATGTTTTTACTTGGACTGAAATTTGTTGGTCTGGTCTGGTCTGATTTGGTCTGGTCTGGTCTGAACTGATGTGGTCTGGTCTGATTTCTTTGTATTTTTATAACTATCTATGTCTAGTCTAATCCAGTCTGATCTGATCTGAGACAAATTACAGTCCAAATAAAAACATCTGTATAGAACAACAAATTAAAATTATTAATTTGATACAAAATAACAAAAATATAATAACATTTGTGAAATGCGTGAAAATACATATTAAAATTATGTATTTTAATTAGTGAAATGCGTGAAAATACATATTAAAATGATGTATTTTAGTTTGTATGTGTGAAATAATGTGTGAAATATCAAAATATTAAATGAGGGGCTAATGTATAAATATATGATAGTTATATACTTAAATTGAAGAATGGTAAAAAGTTAGTAAAAAGAATAAAAAAAGAATATTCCTTTTTGGTGATGAAAATGGTGTAAACTGTTGGAGATAAAACACTGTTTGATGTGATGTTTACACCATTTTAGTGTAAAAAATGGTGTTAACTGTTGGAGATGGCCTTGGAGGGCCGCCACCCAGACAGATACTCTAAATAACCCAATAAATGAAAGAGATTCACTTTCACACTTTGCCCATGTTTACGTCCTGATTCATTCTTCATTTAATTTTGTCGAAAATGACAAATGACCAAATTAGGACCAATGATCCCGATTTCGTATATTAATCTTGGGCATTCAAAAATCTATTCAAACCCTTCACAGAAATAAATGATATCATGCATTGATATCATAATGAGAGGAAACATTTACGAGATCACATCAGATCAGACAAGAAAATTTCAATCCAAGTAAAAACATCTTATAAATTGTCCAACCATCCTCACTTATCCAATTTAGAAAAATGCTAATTGTACTTGTTGGGTTACACGCTTAAGTGTAATTGTTTGTGCATAGATAAATGATTTTAATTTTGATAAAGGGAAGTGTAGCCCGAATTATCTATGCACAGACAATTATTTTTTGAGGGTCACAAACACTTCCTTAATCAAAATTAAATTCAATTGCTTTCTACACAGACAATTACATTTGAACGTGTAAACCGATAGAGAAAATTGCTATTGCTAAGACAAAAACATAAGATTTTTCCCAAAATAGGACTTAATGTTTTGTTTTCCCTAAATTGGACTAACCTTACTTTTTTACCCCCAATTCTATTTAATTAATTAATTGGTCTAAATAATTGCCCCCCTAGTTTCCTTGCACAACCAAGTCAGTCCGTCGGTGGCGTCGCGGGGCAGTCCGTGGTGGCGGCAGAACTCCGGCATCCGGTCAGTGGCGGATTCCGGCGGCGGCGTCGAACTCCGGCAATTAATTAACCCAATTAATTGCCCCCCTAGTTCTCTTTCACAACCAAGGCAGTCCGTTGGTAGCGGGACAGTCTGATGGTGGCGGCAGCAGATTCCGGCGGCGGCGGCGAACTCTTGCGGCAGCCGGAGGCAGAAACGCTGGGAAACGTCCGGAAAAAATTTCTAGAAAATTTTCCGGCGGTGGTCCGGCGGCAAGCAGCAGGTGGTCGGCGGCAGGCAGTTGGCTGCAGTCCAGGGGCAGAAATAGGGGTATTTTGGTCCAATTACACATAAAAAGTCCTATTTAAGAATATTTAAACTAGTTGGTTCTATTTTGAGAAAAATGCTATGTTTCACTCCTATTAGGATAAAAACCCCAAACCTATATACTCGGTACGTAATATGTTTCATTGTCTACAAGTAGCAAGGTTGTCCAATTTTCACTAGCATATTAACGCTATACGCTACAACTTAGGGGTGGGCAAACGGGTCTTGGAACCGCGGTCCGGTCTGGGTAATGACGGTTCGGGTCCAAAACGGGCCGGTTCCATTTTTTGTTAACATAAAGCAGTCCGGGTAGGTTCGGGTAATTTTTTTTAAGGACCCGGCCCGTGCCCAACCCTACTACAACTCACGAATGCACAGATTTAATACTCTGTACTCCCTCCGTCCCATTTATATTGTCTCTTTTTACCTTTTCGGGAAGTCCCACTTAAATTGTCTCATATCATATTTGGCAAAGTTTGTGTGGCTCTAAATCATTCTTACTTTATTCTTACTTTATCAATTAATATCAACCACACAAACTCACTTTTGTTAATAACTGTGTCATCCTCTTCCATCCCAATATAAATGGGACGGAGGTAGTATGTGCCAAGTAATTTCAGATTCTCATTTCAGATAAAATACATAAATTGGATCGACCACCTCTGCCTCAGCCCCTCTTCACTTATCTTGTCTGGTTTAAACATCATTAAAACATTATTATGCCAGCACAGCAACCAAGATTTCAACAAACTTAATTAACACCACCGGAGAGAAATTAATCAAAGTTCAGAGCCATTTCCTTCGCTCTCCGGGATGTCTCCGGCGATCGGGGCTGACGCTCCCCTGCTCTCGAGGAAAGACACTCCGGCGGAGAGAAGGGTGGTGATACGCCGGGCGGTGTTCAATATCAGCATGAGCATCATCGGCGCCGGAATCATGTCTATTCCCGCCACCCTCAAGGTACTACCCAGAAAGATTACTCAGAGTTCAGACTCTCTTTTTCACTTATTAAGGCTTTATTTACTCTCCAAAAAGATTAACTAGAAAAAAGCTAAGAATAAGAATAAATGCTCTTATTTTATTGTAGGCAGGTTAATATCTTAGACCAATTTATATTGATTTATATTTGTAATAAATGGTTCAAATGGGACAGGTATTAGGGGTGATTCCGGCGTTCATTTTGACGGTGGTGGTGGCGGTGCTGGTGGATATATCAGTAGATTTCCTTTTGAGGTTCACGTACGCCGGCAATGCGACGACTTATGCCGGTTTGATGAAGGAGTCGTTTGGACAATTTGGATCTTTCGCCTTACAAATCTGTATTATGATCACTAACCTCGGTTGCTTAATCATGTACCTAATGATCATTGGTAAGTACTAGAATTTAGAAAATATCTAGTACTAGTATGAATTCCCAGTTTCCCACTTTTCCCATTCAAGTACAGTTTTATTTCCCACTTTTTAATTACGATTGCTTTTTTGTAACAAGTTTGATTTGAAAAAATTCACTTTTAGTTTAATTCCATTATGTTGCTGTTTACTTTGACTAGATTTGATACATAACTTTATTCTTAAAATCTTACCTGTTTAATCTTTTCAATTAAACTTCCGCTGCTTAAAATTGTAATGTGCTTCGAATTTAAATTTGAAGGAACAGGGGTAAGCAATGAACAATATCCATCTATCAATTATCATAGTCAAAGACTCAAAAACATAAAAAATACTCCCTCCGTCCCATAATTATCTTCATTCTTTCCTTTTTGGTCCGTCCCAAATTTATCTCCTCTGATCTTTCCTTTTTTAGCAAAGGATTTGTGGTTCACAACCATTCTTACACATTTCTCTCTCCTCTGCACAACTCTCCACCACACATTTCCCACTTTCTTAATCTCTGTGCCCAGTCAAAACCGAAGTTAATTCTGGGACGGAGGGAGTAGTTAAAATATCCTATACACTAACCTCAGTCAATCCAACCAGAAAAACAGGGTCGCCAAATTGGTTCTAAGAGTAAGAGCCCATTTGGTAGCACGAAAATCAGCTGATTTGGCTGATTCTGCTGAAATTTATAAAGTTCTGGCTGAAGTGGATGCATTGGATGATTATGCTGATATGAAAAAAAATTAGTTTTAAAATATATTTTATTAATGAAATAAAGAAAAAATATATGTAAAAATAACGAAAATGATCATCTACATTTACTTCAGCCAATACAGCCAGAAAAGTAACTTCAACCTTACTTTTTTTTCTTATTACACAATTCAGTGCGCGAAAGAAAAAATTACGTGTTTGGTGAAAAAGCTGGTTGATAAGCCTGATAAGCCGAAAAATTGTACTACCAAACAGGCTCTTAATTAGATATTAGAGTGAAGAAAATGGGTTGTATGTCAAATTAAATTTGTAACCATATATTTTTAACTGTGTGACCTGAATTGATGATGATGATGATGTATGTGTAAATAATGATCAGGGGATGTGCTATGTGGGAAAGGGGTAGAACACTTGGGGATTTTGCAAGAGTGGTTTGGCATCCATTGGTGGACTTCCCGTGCATTCTCCATCTTTTTGGTTGTCCTCTTTGTCATGCTTCCTCTTGTTTTGTACCGCCGTGTAGGTAAATAAACTTCTCTAACCAATGTTTTACAAGGATTTACAGGCTAATCCTATGCTGTGGTCTACTTGGTGTTCCACTTCTCTTTATGACTTCCTCTATTATTTTTTAGAAAAAAATGTTCTTTTTACAAGCCATGTTACATGTCAAGTGTTTTTTGTGTGTGCGCAGAAAATTTATTCTCGTTCTAGTAAAGGGAAATATTTGTGCACAGAAAAAAAGATTCGGTCTCACAAACAGTGGTATTGGTGTCACCAAAAACGTGTATCGGTGTCACAGCCTAATAGGTCATGTTTTTATTATTGTTTAAATCTGTCTGATCTTATAACATCTTTAGGCGTACTACGTATTTCATATAAGGCTTATATCATATGGAGTAACATTAATAGATTGGGGAAATCCTCACTAGTACGTTATCATATAGACCTAATATCAAACCCCTGAAGTGGCTAAAAATATATCTCACCATTACACATACTTGAAGTCTTGAACAAAACATGCCAAAATAGGATATCCGCAACTATGTAAAGCCTGCCACAGAGCACGTAGCTCTATTATGTCTATTGTGTGCTCCAATTGTACCCGAGTATCTGGATACGATTACTTGAAGTCTTGGACATGTCCATAAGTGGATACAAATAAGGTGATATACCATGCATTTCTGGACCAGGGGCGGAGCCAAGGGGGGGTCAGGGTGGTCAGCCGACCCCGCTGAACATTTGAGAGTATAGAGCTCTGAAATCTCTTCGATTTGATATATTATGGTCCCCGTAACTCATTACGACTAAGAAGTTATGACTTCTGCAAAATCAGCATTATCTAAACGTAAAATTAGCAAAATTTGATGCATATTATAGATTATTTTTCCAAATGTTAAAATTAGGGTATAATCCACTCAATACTTGCATGCCATGACTCAGAAATAGAGCAAAGACAATCTGTCTTTTTTGCTACGAGTGTCTATTTATCTAAACTACATATGAAATATTCAAATTAGACATGGTTTAAAAACGATCTAACATTTTCATTCTGTATATAGGTTGAGTTTCGACCCCCCTGAGCCATTTTTCTGGCTCCGCCCCAGAAATTCTGGGAAGTTTAAATTTTAAAATATGAGTGTGGGGTTTACTTATGTAAATAATAAAATCACTAGGGTTAATTAATACGGAGTATGCAAATAGATGAAATTAAATATTATTTCAAATATTCATTTGTAAATTGATTGAAGCACAGGACTCTGAAAAAGAATAATTTTCCATTTCGAGGAAACTAATTAATAATCTTGAAACACTCGTTCTTTATTAAAATATGGTGTTTCTCGTTTTATGTTTCTTTACATGTTTTCCACATTCCTGTATGTGCTAATATAAGTAATTTACTATAGCATCGGAAGTTGATTACCATGATATATTGATAGGCATTTCCTCTTACCAAAAACATTCTTCCTAATTATATGTATATATGGTGATGGTTTGCAGAGTCATTGTGGTGGAGCTCAGCCTTAGCAGTTCTCCTAGCTGCGGTGTTCGTTGGCATTTGCGTAGTCATGGCAATCTATGCCCTTTTCTGTGGCCAAACTGAGACCCCAAGGTTGCTTCCTCAGTTGGATAGCAGTGCTTCCTTCTTTAACCTTTTCACCGCCGTTCCCGTCATTGTCACCGCCTTCACGTTTCACTTCAATGGTAATCAATTATGTATATCTTGAAACATTAACATAATTAAACATCATGTATCCGTTGTTTACTCAAATGAATACATAGTTCTATGTATCAGTAACGAAATATAGTTAGCCAGTTAGGGGACTAAATTAGGAAATTTATCTTGGAATTAAGGCCATTTACTAGTATGATCATTTCTGTTGACATTAACTAAGAGGTGAACTGAATGCTTTCATGCAGTTCATCCCATTGGAATAGAGTTAGGCAAAGCTTCTACCATGGCTACCGCTGTGAAGATCTCTCTGGTTCTGTGTTCCCTCGTATACTTCTCCATCGGGATTTTCGGGTACCTCTTGTTTGGCGAATCAACCAATGCCGACATACTTGTGAACTTTGCCCAGACATCTTCATCTTCAGGCTCACCAGTTACCTCAGTTTTGAATGACATTGTACGGCTGAGCTATGCTTTGCACTTGGTGTTGGTCTTCCCATTGCTCAACTACCCATTGAGGGCTAACGTTGATGAACTCTTCTTCCCCAAGAAGATTTTGTTGGCCAATGACTCGACCAGATTCGTGATTCTTTCTGTGTTCTTGTTAGCATTGTCCTATGTTGCTGCCATTGGTATTCCTAGTATTTGGTACATTTTTCAGTTCTTGGGATCAACCACTGCCGTGTGTCTCGCCTTCATCTTCCCGGGTGCCATTGCTCTGAGGTAACCTTCAGCTTTATTACCTCATTTTTCTTATTACATTGATGAGAGTTGATACACAACATTAAGAATGATATGACTTCAATTCCATCCTTCATACTAGACCGGGTTAGACAAAATGGTACAAATGAGACTATGGACCAAATATAGACAGACTTAGATAGATCAGGTCAGACTTAATATACCTAAATAGAGCACAATCATACCAAACGTGAAAATTTCAATCCAATTGAAAGCTTTCTATTATTGCAGGGTTGTGGTTGGGTAAACGTAATATAGAAAATTTACTCACTTCTCCAATTAAATTCTTAGTTTGAATCCACAAGTTTTTAAGCAAATTAACTTTTGCTCCCTCTATATTCTTTTGTTTGTGCTGCTTTCCTTTTCGGACGGTATTTTTATCGCTACAACACTTCCCTTTTATAGAAAGTTTCATTTTTCAAAATATACAAGTGCTTTTACCTTTTTGCCATTGATTACTTGCCTCTAGTTTATCACTGTATTCTCTTTTCTACTTTCTCAATTGTCATTTTACGTTACTTTTATTTCTTCTTTTAAAACTTGTTCTAAAACATAATGTTGTAAATAAAAGAATATGGAGGAGGATGTATTAACTTTCCAAATTTACTCTTCCTCAACAATATGATAGCAAAAGTTACATAACTTTCCGCCAAAAAACAAAACAATTTTATGCATCGTTATTTTATTTTTTTTGAAAAGACATGATATCGCTAATTTTTATTATTTAGCATAGCCTAAATTCTAGCAAGGCTAAACCAAGTTGGGTCCATTTGATTGAAATTTGCTAATAAGTTGCGATATTGTGCGATTGGGAATTGACAGGGATATACACGGCATATCAAGTAGAAAGGATAAGATTGTGGCAATAATGATGATTCTTCAAGCCCTAGTCACCAGCTGCATCGCTGTATCCACCAATGTATACAATATGCTCACCTCAACCAAATCTTGATAATCTTTCAATAGATGAGTGCCAATCACACACGAGATTGTATGTAATTTTTAGTGTATAGCTATTTGCCAATGTTGTCCCTATTCTGGGCTCGGGATGATTCAGGGTTCGGACGGTCTCATTTGTCCGAGCCCGTTTTAGGGTTCGAACGGATTCATCCGTTCGAGTCCGTTTTTTTTTTTTTTTTTTTTTGCTTTTTTGTTTGTTTATATTGGTTTACAATATAGAGATGAATGGGAGAGGGAAGGGATTAAAAAGGGGACATTACATGACTCACCATAACTATTGTATTGAAGTGGATACCCAAAGGTGATTCATTTATCTCTTTTTATTTAGTCCTTTTTTATTCTTGTCAATAAACTTTGATTCAATATTTTAATGGAAGTTAACAAATTTATATTTTTATGATAGTATTTTTAACAAAGAAAATATTCATATAATTTTTATATTATCAATATTATCATGTATAAATATATAATCGAACAAAATTAAATAACTTTGACTTGAAAAATAATGTTTGACTAAATAAAAAGGGATGGAGAGAGTACTTAATTCCGTTGTCAAGGATGTGGCTCTCACTTCTCCATGGGAGATTGGGAGCGGATAGTAGTAGAGGCGCATGGATCATGGCCCCCTAAAAAAATGTGTTTTCATTGTATATATGCGAAAAATAAAATTGTTCCAAAAAAATTTGGCCCGCCAAATTATAAGTAAATCTAATATTTGCTTTCCCAAATTTTAATTAATTATTTACTAAAAGTGAATGAAAGAAATAAAAAAAAAATATAAATTAAAAGATTAAAGTTGATACATATCTATATAATTTATTTACCACTCCGGTATGAATGATTGTGTATTCTTTTACATATAAATCTGAAAATTTGAGAGCTAAGTCCAATTACTAAAAATAGAAATTGAAAGTGACATTTATTTAGTCTAAATAACATTAGCAACATTGTGGTCCTCCGAACTCGAATCCCGCCTGCATTTAAGTAGGAGTAAATATTACTTTTCTACCCCTAATATTTACTCCTATTAGGACTTCTATTTAAGTAATTGCTCTTAATAAGTAATTGCTCTAAATAGAAGTCCATATTTTATATTCCTTAAATAGGAGTAAATATTACTTTTCTACCCCTAATATATATAATTAATTATCCTCGTAGTCCCCTTGCATTAAATATTAGTGACAACGGCGCCGCCGGGGCAGTCTGGCGACAGCCACGGCAGTGTGGTGCATGTCCAACCCCTACAAGGGTTTTTTGTCCAAGTATAAAAAAACTTATGTTTAGAGAATTTGGAACATTAACTCGAGTACTTTGGGGCTTTTAACCTAAAAAGTAAACGTACCACAAAAGATATTTTACTTGGATTGTTTTAAGTCTCAGACCAGACCAGATCATACCAGACTTCTATAATTATAAAATACATGGAGACCAGACATTTACTAGACCAGATCAAACTAGTTAAGACCAAACCAGACCAGATCAAACTTAAACAAATCAGACCAGATCATCAAATTTCAATTCAAGTAAAAACATCCTAAGACTTCAATTCTTATCACTATCTGGAGTATTATTTAGAAAAGCTTACAGTAACTTCTTGTTTTTTCAATATGAAAGGAATGTCATTATATTATCTGTCTATGTAGCCTAGGTAAAAAAATATGCCTAAGAAAATCCTTAAATATTAGGCAATACTCTTTTCATGAATATTACGTAGTATTAAGCTAGTACCTTAAATACTAAGCAAAAAACTTGTCTTAGTGACTCTTATTAGGTTAGTTGCAATCTTGGGGTGAATAGATAGAAAATTTAAATTTGTATTACCTCCGTTCCGAATTGTTTTTACAAAGTCAACATTTTTTGGTCAACCGATATTAAAGTCAAATCTTCCCTATTGATAAATTATTCAATTTTAATAATTAAAATTTACATATTCAAAAATCACATTAAAAAATTTTTAAAGCTGCAAAATCTAAATTAAAATTTAATTAAGATTTGATATGTTAAGAATTTAATTCACGCACACGAAAATCAATAACGAAGAACACGCGAAATTTGGTAACCCAGTTCGCCACGAATGACTACGTCTGGGGGCGCTACCAAACAAGGAATATTATTGCTATTTTTGGATCCACACACAATGATTACAAGGGAGAGAGCTTGTGTTTATATAGAAGTAAATCCTAACCCCAAGGCAACTAGGATGTGTTTCCTAAAATAAATTAAGAAACATGTTTCCAAAAAGAAATTAAGAAACTGTCTCTAACACTTTACAATCTCCCACCTAGAGACTGTCTTCTTCAAACCTCCCTTGTAAGCATGGTAGCGTCGGCCTTCATCTTCAAGTACCCAGGCCAATTGAAGCTATGCAAAGCTTCAATTTCTCCAAGGTTACCACCTTAGTAAACATTTCTGCTGGATTCTCACTCCCACGGATCTTCACAAGCTGCAATGCCTCTATCTCCATAAGATGAAGGATGTAGTGATACTTCAACCAAATGTGTTTGGTTCTCTTGTGAAAAGCTGAATTGTTGGCCAAGAAGATAACACTTTGACTGTCACTGTAAAGAATGTTATTCTTGTACTCCTTCCCAAGTTCCCCAAGTAAATTCTGAAGCCACACCATCTCCTTACTTGCCTCCGTAATGGCCACATATTCAGCTTCAGTGGTAGATAATGCAACAATCTTCTGCAGTTGCGAAATCCAAGAAACTGCCGTTCCACCAAATGTAAAAACATACCCGGTGGTGCTCCTTGATCCATCTGAGTCATTCGATGCCAGGTCTGCATCAACATGTCCCAGCAACTCTACATTCTTCCCATCAAAACACAAAGCATTAGAAGCAGTACCTTTCAAATACCTCATGATCCACTTCACAGCTTCTCAGTGTTCTTTCTCGGGGTCTCGCATGAATCTGCTCACTACTCCCACCGCATGTGCAATGTCTGGCCTTGTGCACACCATCGCGTATGATGGAGTATATGGCCCAGGGACCCCCGGCCCATAGACTCCTACTTCTCCTACACAAGTCCGTTGGGCTCAGGGAACAACTCAGGCCCAAATACAACGGCCCAAGCCTCAAAGTAGCCCAGAATACACGCTGGGGTGCCTTCGGCCTCCTTGGCCGAAGGCTCCAAAACTCACAGGATAGCCTTTTTGGGCATAAAAAGCTGCTGGGAGAAAACGGGCGAAGACATGAGCCTTCGGCATTCTCATGCCCTCGGCTACACAAGGAGCCCTCGGCTAACAAGGAGCCTTCGGCTACACAAGGAGCCCTCGGCTAACAAGGAGCCTTCGGCTACACAAGGAGCCTTCGGCTGAACAAGCTCAATCATCGAAGATTCCTTTTAGAGACAACCAACCACCGCATTTAATGCCGCGTCGCATCCACCAACCGCATTCAATGCGGTTGACGTACCACTGCCGGTGCCACCAGGCTGATGTGACCCTTCGGCCGTTGGATTACTGACACGTGTCCTCTCATCGCATTTATTGCTGCTATAAATAGCAGCCCATCTCTCCTTGTAATACACACAATCTACATCTCAACTCCACATCTCGAGTTCATTTAATAAAATCGACTCTCTCTCCTCCTATTTGCTCTGACTTCTCTCTAAGTTATTCCCACAATAACCCCCTCGGATAAGATACCCCCCGGGTAGACTATCCATCATTTGGTGCTCTCGTTGAGAGGTCTGAACTATCAAGTGAGAAACCCTCCCCCTCTACCAAATACAAAACACTCACCAAAAATGGGAAGAACCACCCGTGCCCAGTCCAAAACCCTCGAGGAGAACCACGTAGCCCCCGGCGAAATTAACGGGGCTGAGGCCTCCAACAGGCTCTTAGTACCCGAGGGCGGTGTCATCCTCGAGTTAGAGCAAGCCACCGCTGACCTACGTCAGCAGCTGCAAAAGAACACCCCTGATGCCCGCATTGGCCTTGATAATCGAAGGAGGGATCGGAGTGAGAACCAAGTTCCCCCTCCGGCCTCGGCCATCGATCTTCAGGCTGCCTTTGCGGCTTTTGTTCAAAACATGGCTCTCAATTCCGGAGCCCTCGCCTCTCAGGCACCCCTTCAGCCCTGTGCTGGAGGGAATGTTATCAATCTACCACCACTCCCTCCTTTGTTCAACAACCCTCCCCCGGGGGTTGGCAACCGCGAGGGGGTCATAGCGCAGGATACCGCCTCCCAGGAGGCTCAATCCAGGGACAAGCGCCCCATGATGAGGGAGAAACCCCGGACCTCTGCACTTGAGAGGCTTGGGGGAGCTCCCGGACGCCGAGGGGTCCAAGATCGCCTCGGCAAGCAAGAACTCAGCAGGCCCCAGGAGAGTGGTGCCTCCGTTTCGGGTGCCGAGGGCATACCTCCCCCCCGAAGCAAAGGCAAAGCCCTCCTCCACGCCAATGACGCCAGGCACCAAATCACACAGGCGCAATCCTTCCGGGCCAACTCCCAAGGGGTTGCCCCGAAGGATCCCAAGGACGAAATCATTGAAGCCCTCCTCCGTCAACTTGAGGAGAATCGTCAGGCACCCCCGACGGCTTCCACAGCAAGGCCTGATCCCGAGTACGCCGATCTCCGGGCGCAAGTGGAGGAAATGAAGCGTAAGCTTGCCGAAGGCTCAGGAGAGCCCCTCGTTCAACTCCGCACTAGAACACCCTTCACCCCAAGGGTGTTGGCGGCCAAAATCCCCCACAAGTACCGGGGGCAACCTATCAAGCCGTATGAGGGGAAGACGGATCCCCAAGAGCACTATAGCCGTTATCAAAACAGCATGATGATGATGGGGGCGTCGGATGAATACTTATGCCGTTGGTTCCTTTCCACCTTGGAGGGTCCAGCGTATGAGTGGTTCAACCGGTTGCCCGAAGGCAGCATTGATTCTTGGCAAGAACTTGCCCACCGCTTCCTTACACAGTTTGCCGGGAGGCATCGCTCAAAGAAACACTTCTCCCACCTCCTGAACGTGAGGCAACAGAAGGAAGAAACCCTTCGGAGTTTCTTAGAACGCTGGAGGCAGGCCTCCCTCGAGGTCGAGGGCGCCGACGACAGGACCCTGATGGCCCTCTTCCACACAGTCCTCCGCAATGGTAACTTCTCCCGGAGCCTTATCACCGATCCCCCCCGCGATTATACAAAGGCCCTTCAGCGGGGGGGACCGATATGCTGAAGCGGAGGAAATCGAGAAGGACCGCCGCAACACGGATCCTTCCCAGAAGAATGAAGGCAGGAATCGGCCCGGGGGGCCTCCCCCTCCGGTAAACCGAGAGGCGCAGTACAACGATCGCTCCCGAGGTGGCCAAGCCAGACCCGGGGGCGGTTACAAGAACAATCCGAAGGCATGGGCGCAGCCCGTCCTCCT